GATATATATTTCCAAATTAACAAATCGAAATAATGACACAAAGAATTAAAAATAAAAATGTTAACAACAACATTAATAATAATAATAATAACTAAACAACAATAACAAATGATAATTTTAATAACAATAATATCAATAATAATAATGATGATGATAACAATAATAATAATAATATTATTATTTCATTATTAACGTTTGAAATAATAATGAGGTACTTGATCAAATACTGCATTTTGAATTGGACTCTCCTATCGTCGAAGGCCAACTTCTCGTCTGGCGGCATGGCGTCGTATTCATCTTCTGTCAGCTCCTGCAGTTGCTTCATAGCCAGCAACTCCTGCTCCTTCAATCTAATTTCTAAGTGGTTGGTAATGAGTGACACAAATCACTACTAAGTCATTCAACATATGCAAATTTAAGTGACCGCTAAAAATATTTTAACTGAACCGGCCAGGAAACAAATTTTTTATATTAATAAATGGTATTCTATCGTTTGATTGTCATGGTTGATCGCTTGGTCTCATTCGTTCTAGATGTCCGTGCATAACCTTCCACTTGACATTGCACACAGAACATCAAATTGCAACCGACGGCGGTTGAAGCACAAAATATGTAATGCATTGCACAGTTTGACTCGGTGTTATCGAATTAAAAAAATAGTAATAATTGTCAAGAAAAACTAAATAAGTTAAAAAATAGTAATAATTGTCAAGAAAAACTAAATAAGTTAAAAAATACAATTGGATGAATGATATGAAATAATTTGGTGATAACAATTTGATAACCCCTTTCCTAAACCGTTGAATATTGATAATCTACACAAGAACCCAAGGTAACGAAGACCAAGTAAGATTGAAACTGTAGGTACATTTATGAAAAAACTGAAAATTCTTACGATATACTTACATGTAATTAGTTGACCAATTGACCATAACGCAGAACGTATATACGCAATGTTTAGAAATATAATCAAACCTATTTAAATCATAATATATTCTAATAAAAAATGTTGACAACAAATTAATAATTATATTGATGATATTGATATGACGAATTAATAATTATATTGATATGATATGATTATAATGAGATTCGACCCAGAAATAACACCATGTAGCAAAAAATAGTAAAGATTATCGAGAAATAATTTCGAAAAAAACTAGTTTTTCTATCTTAGCTTAGTTTTTAACTATGATAATAAAACTTTTTTTAAATTATCTCCTAAATATCATCTCGTTATTTATACAGTATAGCATTCCAGTAAATAAATAAATAAACAAAGCAAATAAAATGAAATTAAAACTCACGCAAAATGTTGTAATCTTGGATCTGCTTCTTCCTCACTGACTCATACTTAAGGTTGAGCGTGATGCTGTAGATGTATCTTCTGTTGTTGATGGCTTTCAAGAGGCACTTCAGTGTACCGGACGCATTGGGACTGAAGAGACTATCCAGTCCATCGAAGATCACTCCATAGTAACAGTCTGAAAACTTCAGGTTGGTGCATCAATTACAAAGTAATCTGTTTCTGTTAACAGTATTTGAAGTAAAGACATTATGTCAGAATGTCATACCAATAATCTCTCCGAAACTATCTCCGAGATGACATCCTCAGATAAAATTGTGCTCCAATATGTTTCCTCTGATTGCTGTTGCTGTTCTTCTTTTGACTGTTCGTCAGTTTTGCTTTGTTGCTGTTCACAAGAGTTGGAAATCCGTTGCCATTCCAGAGGAGGGCGCTGGTCTTGCTGCACGATCCTGATGCACCGACCCCTGCCCTGCTCCCCCAACAACCATTCCTTGATGCCCTCTGCATGCTCCTTCACAATGTTATTGGGCATCAAACTTTTTAACGTTCAAACTACGTAAAATTTTAACGAATGAAATAACTCAATAAAAATTAAATTAATTTAAAAAAAATTTATTGCACAACCTTTGAAAACTACGCTTACAAAATTAAAGATTTCTGACTACGAACATGAAAAATTTACCATTTTTTTATCAATTGTTCATATTTTTGATTAGACCAAGGTAAAGAAAAACAACGAGAAACAAAAAATTAATAACATTGATGCAAATAAACGGAGTAAAGACAAATTTGATCATTTAATCATCAAGAGTAAAAAAGAGAATAAACTAACGGGAGTTGATTTGCCGGAGACAATGGATGTTTTTCCTGAGGACAAAACAAAAATAATGATCACAAGTAGCCACATCGCAGTGGTCATCGTTCTTCAGCGTCAATTGGCATCACTCACTCGACTCTCAAGTATTAATGTATCAAACGCAAATGAAATGCACTCAAATAAATGATGAGATGCAGGAGAAATGCTTAATAAATTTTTGACATTTAAAAAAAAAGTTCGACAATATTTAGCTTAGAAGCCAGAACGTCGGGGTCAGACGGAGTCGGAAGTTTTTGCCAGTCGGAATAAAAAAAAAGATTTGTAGCTGGAAGTTTTCATTTGAATCCAGCATGAATATTGAACATTTAAAAAGTTTTTCTATTTGCATTACAAAAAATTATTTTTCAAGTTTGTGCTTCATGGAGAGTAACCGCATGTAGTGATACGCTATCATCTTCCAGTGAATGTAACCATTTGGGCTGTGCACATGCAGCTAACTTCATTTGTAAAAAAAAATTATGCGTAGGTATGTGATTTTTTAACTGTTGAACTGTGGCCGAAATAATAATTTTTTTCAATAATTTTGTTTAAGAAACTTATTTTTATATTTCTTAATTAATAGAAATATATTTATATATACCTTATTTAATTCTGTAAATAGTTTTGGTGACATCGTTAATATAAAATGAATAAAAATATGATGATTCCATAATTTATGCTTGAAATCTGTGATCAATATTCAATCAATTTCAAAATAAAGTGGAGCACTTTTTGGTATTTTTATAGCACACACACACGTTTGATGCGACACTTACAATGAATTTAAAGGAAAACTAACATGCGAGATTTTAGTCGTACAAGCAATCAGTACACAAACAAGCTGCGACTGAACGGCGTAGCTACGTTTCGAGGCTTATGATTTCAATGTTAAGTTGCACTTTTAATTATTTTAACGTTCCAGTGCTCTCTGCCACTTTTATTATAATTTTTCCACTCAAACATAATTTTGTTTACTTGATTTTATTTTAATAAAAATGTGTTTTTTTTGTCAAATATTATAATCATACACTTGACGCTCGTTGAAGAAAAACTAAATCATTAAGATGTTATGTTAAGGTTATTCAATCACGCTTTTGGTTACGGAAAATGTTGAATTTGCAACGCAGCAAAAAAAAACATTTTGTATGCATTCGCGAACAACAAATTGTGTACAACAATGCTGAAAACAATAGATGAACTGCCAAATATTATTTTTAAAATATAGATTTAAATAATAATCATACTGAGGAAAAAATTTATTTGACTCGTTTCCAAATACCTTGTCTTTTAACATAAGAAGTAGTAGTAATTTTAAAAACTGTAAAGCAGAAATTGGAAACGTTTTTTGAGAGCCGGAAGCCGGAGTGAAGAGTCGAAAAATTCGAAAAATTGAATAATTTTTCAAAGAGTCGGAATTTATAATTGTTAATCAATAAGTCTAAATCAGAAAAATGTTGATCCAACTCCGTCGCTCAAATCCAATCTCAATAAAATGTTTTTACCTTTTTTGGCATCTTTTGCACTTCTGTTACTCTTGAGACTAGCATCACTTTTGTTAGAAAGCGAGGAATCGCTTCTACTGCCGTCAACTTTGTTTTCTTTCTTTCTCTCATTTTCCTTCTTCTCTTCTTTCACTTGCCTGATCAAATGAATAGACAGATAAATAAATTGAATAACGATCAAACGAGGCTCATAACAAATCGCATCACATTGTATAAAATTACACGAAACCATTTGACTACGTAATAAAATGCAAAATCGAATCATACGAAATCATGTGAAACCTCCCAGCATCCTTGTCCGACTACCCTCCAAGACTTACCTACTCCGTTCGAGACATGCCTGTCTGGCGGCACAACAGGCCACCGATGTACCGCAAAGAACAGCCTCAACGATGATGTCATCAACCTTCAGCACCTTAGCTTTGTAATCAGTCGCAAGGGCATTGGCCGTCGTTGTCTTGCCTGGATCAGCCGACGAGGAAGAAATTTTTAGCACGTGATCATCGTAGTCGTAAATCAATGGAAAGAGATAAAATGAAAATAGCGATGAAAAAACATATCGTTATAAATTTTTTTAATTCTTATGTATTTTGCATTTCCGTTAACCACCACTAACTTTAAAAATCGCTAGCAATGTCTATTTTGCAATATATATTTTACATTTTAACTGCTTATTATTTACAATTATATTCATTTTAATTTTATTCATTCAATAAACTCCAGATGAATGGATCTATTTATTAATGCCAAATAAACAATTCAAAATGTTCTGTCAAAAACTCTGTCTCCAGTTTCCTACTCACCTGATCTTGGTGGTCCGTGTATCATTATCACTACTCCTCTTCGCAGATCCCCCAGTTGTCCTTCTTCGCTCAGATCCACTTTCATATAATTGGACAAAGCAAGACTGACTGGATTTTCGTTTAGATGACTCGATTTGTGCAGAGCCTGGACCGCTTCTAACAAATTTAACAAAATTTTTCGTTTTTTTTCAAATTTTATTTTCTTACCAGTTATTATTGATTAGTTAAAATAATAATCATAATTAAAAACAAATGCATATAAAACATGGGACGGCAAAAAATTATAAAAAGTAAGACGTTGAATACAAACTGAAATCTTCTTCTGTAATATCGTTTATGTCTTTGATCTTCAGTGGGTCTTCCGTTAAAAAATTGCTTATCACTAAATCCGTTGCTGCGTTGTTCGATTCATCTGATTTTTGGTGGTGGTGCATTCAAATCTATTCATTAAAGAACTTTTATTTTTGGTCAAAATGAGCAATCAATTTGAAAGTCAAACTTTAGTAAAGATTTTCAGTTAAACGTTTGTTAACAACATCATAGCCCTGACAATATGAACGGCATGAAAAAAGAAAAAATGAAACTACAATAAGAAGATAAAACTATGCAAAACATGAGGCAGACTAACGGTGCAGTGCTCATCAGAAAGTAAAAAGAATATGAATCACTGCTTAATATAGTCAGCAAGCTTTCCCGGTTTTAAAAATAAATTCAACATTTAATCTGATGTCGTTTCATGCAAAAAGACAGCAGATAATTGCAACTTGTTTTAACTGAATACTCATTATAAGAAATAAAAACTAAAAACTTGTGAGTTCTTTTTCTTTCTTGACATCAATAATTTCTTTTTTCTTTTCAGTTTCTTTTTTCTTATCATCACCCTTTTCCGTTTTTTTATCCTCATCTTTTTCTTTTCTTTCACCATCATTTTCTGCTTCCTTTTGCTCTCCATCCAGTTCGGTTTCAGAAATGTGGCGCAATCTTCTTTTTTCAGTCAACATTTCGTAATACTTCTTTATGAGATCTGCTTGCGTTTTATTTCAATGCCTCAGTGACACTAAAATTATCGTAAACAGAAAAGCATAATAATGCAAACAGTGATAAAATATGGAAATAACAAGAATATGAAAAGAATACCATCGTAGTAATCTAGAATTTCTTGCGGCAATTTATCAGCGGGTTGTCTGGCAGGCAGAATCAAATTATTGTATTCATCATAACCTTCTAAAAGTCGCAAAATCTAAGATTTGATGCAGGTAAAATTATAAAAATTTCAATTTTAAATTATAAAAACATTAGAACCTTTTCTTCTTGCAAATAAAGTTCATCCATTTCCAGATTGAAAACTTCTACAGGAAATGAGCAAGGATTCCTGATAACAATGGACCTTTCACATACCACCTCTTCATTTGGCAAGCATGGTGCAAATTCTACAAACTGGTTTAAAATTTCAATTCTGGGGACAACAGCGGATCCTGTGACATACAACAATTGTCTTTTGCTACTTTGCTCGAACTGAAAAATCAGGTGTGATTGGTAGGTTTTCTGCAGAAAAAAAAACATTTTATATCAACTAACGTTAATTGGAAAAGCAAATAATTTAAAAAATCCAACTTCTTCATTTGGAGTAAATTTCACTTGAACGTTTGTTCTGCTACATGGAAGTACAAGCCCTTCAGATGGCGTCACTTCAAAGAGCGGACAGACTGATCTGTCAAGTTTGTTTTTTCTTTTCAGGTGCAATGGAACATATTTATCATCCTGGGACTGTAAAAAATGGGAATGTGGAAATGAAACAATTTTCAAGTTCTCGGCTTATTTAATTTGTCCGTATTTTAAAAACAACATAAGCCAGTCCACGCGCATAAATTCTTTCGGTGCTAGAAACTGGATAGGAAAAAATTTGGCTATCACGTTGGAGAATTACGACTTTCATAAAAAAAATAAAACTATTTTAATACTTTTATAGCCAGTCACAATATTTTACGTCAGATGATAGTTTTATATTGACTAAAATTTTATTATCTAATAGTTTGAATATTAGACATCAAAACCTTAATCATCTTGATGAGCTGTTTTTTCAAAGTAGTCAACTTAACTCATCGACGCAACAGCAAAAGAGATAAACCACGACGATGAGCTCAAATTTATATCAAGTTATCAAAATTTTCTGCCCAATCTTCAACCATTATTGTTTTCGCAAAAATATTAACTAAAAATTACATCGGAACGTTATATGGAGTATCTGTTTTTTGAGTTTTTCCCAGCACATAACCGATGCCAGTCTAACGCGACACTCGGCACCGTTGCAAACACTGCGTCCATACTCTTATATTTAAAATTCTTTCCAGTTATTTTTTTCAAGCAGCATTTATGTTGTGGAAAAATAAACACTTCCTGTGAAAAATACTAACCTTAGCCTAAATTTTTAAAAAATAATAAAAACCTTGGATAGATCCCTGTTTGGATTAATAAATCTCCAGCGGCAGGGAATGTCTTGCTGGTTGTATAATTGCAGCCCAATAATCTTACACTCACCACATTTGATGGTGCCAAAGGACAAATTGTTGTTGGACAGCATGAGGTCCGGCATGACAACTTGACCTCTACACAATATTCTCACCTTTGGTCCGTTGTATAACTTCATATTGGAGACATGTCGATAAGTCAATATGAAAATTTTAATTGTCTTTTTTCATATTAATTTTAGTTTGATAAAAAATTTAATATTGAATGTTGAATAGGTCATATGTAGTTCAAGTCACAGTCATGAACACAAAATTATGCGACAAAATAAATTTTAAAAAATGGTTAAAATTTACAAGCAATGTAAAAAAAGAGAGTTGCTTCAAATGACACAATGTATTGTATTGCATGACTTGTATAGCGCTCCTCTTGAAAGAACTTTCCGAAGCACAACATTGAGATACGTAAAAAAAACTATATTTTTCTTGAATCAGTCTTATAATGATATCAAAAACACAATCTTGTACACATACACATATAGGGATAAATGCCTCCGTAAAGCCAAGATCCAGGTTAGCACCCCTCGGGTCAAAGACAACATCAACTGTTACACACTTTGTGGACGGAAGACAGGACACTCTAAATTATTAATAAATTGTTTCTCATCAAAGTTTGGATTTCAATACAGTCAATTTTGTTTATGTAATACCGTCAAAATTCAATTAGAAATAGCTAGTGAACATTAAAAAAATTTCAATAAGCGTGAACTTTTGTTGATTGATTAGAAAGCCCCTTCTACTCAGCTCTTTAATGGTTGACAAATCAATGCAATAAGATACGTCAAAGTTGCCATTATTTTTGATCGCCACAACTTTTGTTGCTATGGTCCCCAGTATGGTTGGGCCAAAATCCAATATGTAGTCCTGCAACAGTGGTCTGTGAACACATGATGCCAGATATCAAATAACATGACAGATGTTTGCTATTGAATGTTTGCAGAATGTTATATGATGTTGGAATATGAATTAAACACTTGTTTATGGAAATATTTTTGGTTGATAGTTGAAATGACTGATTATGTAGCAATTACAATTGGTCAGCGAGTTAGCTCCGTTCGTGCTGTCATTGGGCGATGGACTGGTTCGAATATCGTCCGTCCGAGAGATGCGGTGTTTGCGGGTGCATGCATAGCGTGAATATGTATGTCGTGTGGTGTGGGTATTACATACTTTTTGATGCGAAAGTTAAATTATAAGTATAGAATGACATATAAGTAGTTTTGAGTTTTTGAATGCAGCACATGAAGATCACATGTTATCTTACAGTTCGCTAAACTGATGACGTTTACATGTGTTATGAATCAATAAGAAGTTATCAACTAATTCACTGAACAATAAGAAGTTTATCAACTAATTCACTGAACAATAAGAAGTTTATCAACTAATTCACTAAACAATAAGAAGTTTATCAACTAATTCACTGAACAATAGAAAAAAAGATGCAGAATTGTTAGAGTTCATTTAAAACAAGTTTGTTCAACTGGATTTAAATTGAAAGTAAAAGTTTCTAATTAAAAACTGAAAATTTCAAATACTAATATGAAAAAATGTTCAACCGGTTTGTGAAAAAATTTAAACAATAAATTTTACTCAACCGTGGATTGTACCCAACCAAATTGCCAAAAAAATATTCATAAAGCCTTTTTTCAAAGACCGGTTCATCCATAAGCTCATCAATCATCAGTCTTTCTGCTTCCATCTGGATGCGTTCATCTTCCGAAAGATGAAACTGAACGTGAAAAATATTTGCACAATATAAAAAATGTTCTTACACATAAGTTACAACGAAGCAAATCAATAATCTTACCCCTCCATGGCATTCTAAGCATTCTGGTAGGCAGCTGTAGTCTTTCCCCTCATTCACATCATTGCAAGTTGTTTTATTATGACAACCAAAGCAGCTAGAAGTGTTGTTGTAGTCATCGCTGCAATTTTGATCTCCTTTATTATTCTTCAGTTCTCTGATCAGCTCTGCTTCGTCCAGTTGCTTCCTCACTTGACAACAGTCACCACCTGCTCGTGAAGCATCGCTGATGCTCAACTCACCTCTGCCATCACATCTCACCATTCTGCTTGCCTTTGTTATCCACTTTGAGTACTTCTTCCATGCAGCGTCACAACTTTCACCGGTGAACAGAGGAAGGTCAACGATAATTCTCGGAAAAACTGCATGACCTTTCACCCATATAACGTCAGGTTCGAAATGAGCAACTTGAATTTTGAAGGAACATTGGAAGAGAAATGGACCCCTAGGAAAAAACTGAACGGTAAACACCTGCTCTGCGAATGCTTCCAATTTGCCCTGCGGTGGTTCATACATTCCTATTATCCCTATTAAGTAACCATATATTTAGCACAAAAAAATGTGCACTAAAGTTCTGTGCTAAAGAAATAAACGTTTTTATCATCGCGGTCATCATCATTGTCATTATTATCAGTGTTTAGAAGCTTCTGATCAAAACTCAAACTTAAAGTTACGAAGTCGTTAAAAATTTTGAAGAATTTAAATCAGAAGACGTTAATGAGATAAAAATTTATTAGGGTCTGCCCAAATTTCTATTAGGAATGCGAGGATTCAAAATCCTGGAGTATTTGTAACACTTGGATCCGTGCAGTTTAATAAATTACATTTTAACTGCAAATTTTATAAAAAAAAAAAATAAATAAAACTTCTACAGTTTTAACACGATTAACTACCTATGCCACTATTGCATCAGCATTATATAATATTGACTGGGTCTGTCAGTAAAATGTAGTTTTAACTACAATAAAAACAAAATATTTAATTTATTATTTTCTGGTATACATAGCAACTTAGATTCCTAAATAGTGTATACTATGATCTCGACCGGTGCGAATCCAGCATTTATATCTAGATCCAACTTCGAAGATTTGACTTACTTATAGTTCTATTACACAGTATATTGAAAGCTATCTTAAGATATAAACTGTAAAATATAATTAGATGGAAATGAAATAACATGAACTGTTAATTTAGCCCAGACCAACATAAGAGACTTCATAAAAATTCGAGTAATAAGGAATTAGAGTCAAAGTAGTAAGAAGTCTGATAAGATGGTTGATTAACATAAAAAAATAAGAATACTTGCAGATATTGGACTGACGTAAGGTAACCTTTCAAGAACACATGCATACAAATTATCTATGCAATTGTGCACTATGAAGTCCAGTGTCAACTTGCTCTTGTTTCTGAGAACAATCTGACCCTCAGCCAATTCAAAGTAATGCTGAAAAGTAAACGAAAAACATCGTCACATGAAAGTTACAAAAAGTAATAACTTTTAAGCTCTCGTTTTTTCCTGAAACCCAAAAAATTCACTAACCAATAAAAAATTGATTTATAAAAAACAATTGAAAATAATAATGCGTGGACTGTATTTGGTTAATCGTTGAATAAGCAATTTTTTCAATTAGTATTTAGTTTTAATTGGTGACAAATCCTATTTTTTGAATGAACTAAAAAATAAACATGTCGATCTAAATTGCTAATTCATTGTATATAATTTCAGCCGGACAACCGCAAATTATAAAAACATCAACATACTAATGATATAACAAACAGATCTAACCACAATTCCATAGTTGAGAAGTTTTGTATCGAACTCGTACACAACCACGTCTGCTTCTCCTTTGAGCACCAACTCATAATCAGGGCCACCCTCCACTGAGCAAATGGCTTTCAGATTGCTTGTTACGTGGGGGTAGCCGTAGAAAGTAAACGTTACCACTTCAGACTGCCCAGGTTGCAAGCAACCAAACATCGGCTGAATATGGAACAGCTAAAAAGTTCAAAATAACATAATTATTGTTTTTTAATTTATAAAAACGTCCAAAAATTTTTATTCAATCATTCATCTAACTAAATATTACAAAATAATATCTAGTGAAAAGTGGCGTTGCGAATAGACCGTGTGATACAATAGAAGACGTTTTATTATTTAGCCAGGAAAACAGATACTCGATGCGATTATATAATTGTTCTAATATAAGAAATTTGGCATTAAAAAACCTTTATAATGCCAAAAGTTTTTGCTACTTTGCACCATTGCTCTGGAGCCAGCTGCCTTCATACATGAAATCAGAAATAGATTTTGCCGTTTTTAAAAAACAATTGCGTACTTTTTGCAATTGTAATTTATAGTTCTTGACTGTGATACATTTAATTTCTTTTTACTGCTTTTTTCTACAAGTATTTTTTTAATTTTGTTTTTTTTTAATTTAAAAATTTTAGTTAACTGTTTTTTTAGGACTTGAACGGTTGCTTCTATCAATTTTTTTTACTTTATCCTCAACGTCATTTTATTGCGTACATTTTATAATTGTTTTTATTGTCTGACTGTGATAAGATTTAAATTTCTTTTAACTGTTTTTATTCTGTGTTTATATTTTTTGCTATTTCATTCTTTAAAAACTGATTTTAGTTAACTATTCCTCTTAAATTTTCCTCTTAGTTTTTCACTTTTTGGCTTCCATGCCATTTCATTTCATTTTATTGTTTTCAATAACTTTGATTTGATTGACAAAAATAAAAAATATCACCTGCTTCGAAAGAAAATTTATTTCTGCTTCTATCAGGATATTACGGGTGCTGTTCTAAATGGCTTGCCTGGAAATATTAAATTTTCGAAATGATGCAGCTTCAACGTGAAAAAGTATTTAGAACATTGGTGTGGCATTGGTAAATATTCTCTGCCTGCTAGATTGCATTCAAATTTCTTCTAAAAATTGAATGAAATTGTCTGATTTCCACCTATCACCATAAATAAACCACTGCGCTTTAGTGATCATCTGACAACTCATTGTTATGAACACATTTTCCAAACATTCTTGTATTGTGTATGACAAACGTATCAGGGAATGAAAAATAAAGTTAAAAAACCAACATGTAGCCATAGATGAATTTATTGTAATCGAACATAGAAGCACCAAATAATGATTGCATGGTGACCAACGCAAAACTTTATTTGTTGAAGATAAGGGTTTGCTCGGGTACGATGAAATAACATAAAGCTTCAAAACAGGACCATGGGAAACACTTTGATTAATCTTTAAAAACTGGAAAAATATGCAAAAGTGGCGTTAAGACAGAATTAGAAGCAAACGTGTGTTTCATGCATTTTAAACCGCGGGTATGATACACTTGTGAAATTGTGACAGAACGAGTATATGTATATGATGATGATTGTGCATTTGAAGTTTGCCACCTGTAGGTATGTATATATTTAAACGAACATTTTTATGTATGTCTATTTTGTTGTTATAATCTATATCAAATATGAGACGCTTGCTAAGTGTTGTTCTGTTAATAGGAAGTATAAAAGAAGTATAGAAGCTTTACAGTTGGCGTGGAAACTTAATTTTCAGAAAATTTGGAAAACAGTATTGATTATTCTATGTTATAAAAAGTTTTTATGTAGAAATGGCAGTAGAAATCTACATAAGGCTGCGAGTTGGCAGACAACTCTCATGGTTTTAGCTGTTTGTTTTCAGTCTGTTGTGTTGGGTCGGTCTTTGCTGGTTAATTTTAACACATTGCGGTTTTGATTATTATTATTATATTGTATATATTGACATATTGGCAGAGATATGATTTTCATTGTTTTGTTTTTTATTTAATGAAAAAAGTATATACTTGAAATTTGGCTTGGTTTGATAAATTCATCGAAAATAATGAACGTTGCAAAAGACTTGTTGACAGTCCACCCAGCCCGTGTTTTCAGACCCTGAGAGGGTCAATTGTAGAGTGGCAGCTCCCGGCCAGGAAAGAGTTCGCTGAGATGAAGGCTCGGGTAGATATTCATATGTAAACGCGGTTGTGGGCCGCGGGCGCCTAATTTGAATGTCGCCCGACAGAAATTTAAACATTCAAAATACAATTGCGAAGTATTCATCGAAATAAAAAAATCTGGCATATAAACATAATTGAAATGAAAATAGATGATGTCAGTTTATTATGAATTAATGAAATCGGGTGAATAAACTAATGTATGAATAATCTTTAAAAAATTCAAAAGAGCAAACCTCTTCAACACTTGGTTGTACAGTTGAAACGTCCTCCATCAAAATGCCAACGAGCTGCTTGCTTATTTCACCTTGTTCACATTTGTTATACTGAATCATTTTATCCTGCATCATCTGAATAATCTTTTCTCGTTCGCTCATCAGCTTTGCTGAATTCATCTTGCACTCCACAATCTTCAATTCTAATTCAGTTGGTTTTTTTGGTTCATGGACGGATAGTAACTTTGTTAATTTATTCTTTTTTTTATTTGACCTGTTAGAGACAACGTTCTTCTTATTTTTAGTGGCACTGGCATTATTGCTTTTATTCTGATTATGTTCATCCTTATTTTCCCCACTCTGATCGTAACTACTTGCGTGATGGTTAGTGTTAAAGTTATAATTCTGACTTAGATGCACATTGTTGTAAGCTCCATTCGAACTTCCATTACAATTAGCGTTGTTACTGCTGTTAGGTTGCTCTTGAGAAAAATTCACTTGATTCATTTCATCCAACCACTGAAAACATTTCATTAAAATTAATTATTATTGGAAGATTTATACCACGTTTTTTCAAACAAAAATCTCAAAAGTGTAGCCAGAGAAGAAACACGCTCGAATATTGCGTAAAAATAAATGTTTTTACACGTTTTCTGAACAAAAAATAAAAAACCAAGGAGCACGAAGCCCAGTAGATAAATTATTCCAGACAGAAGAACTCGGTACAGAAAAATTTCTAAAACATGCGGCAAGCTTGCTGGGAAGAGTCGAAAAACTGATATTATTGGAACATATTCGGTGAGAATGGAGATGTAGAGAGCGAGTTGTGCATTCGCAATCAAATCCATTTAGACATTTGGATGACAATTTTGAAAATAATCCATAAAAAACACTGTTGCTGTAATCCAATTTGAAACGTATAAACGCATGACGTATAAACACAAAAGTAGGGGCACGTCAAGTGAGTGCCTGACTGATCTGAGCAGCCTCAATTAATAGGAGCAGTCGCGGATAAGTCGCCCAATACGTGGCTCTATAGACATATGAGCATCAAAAACAATGTTGCTTGCATTTGTACAAAAATCAATGCGTGTACCTTGATATAAATTTTGGAAATCTGTTGCCACACATGTAAAATCTTTATTATGTTAAAATTCAACATCAAAAAGTTGGAAGACATCCACCTACTGACATTAGACAAGCAGACAACAAGCTTATCAATAAGGTCACCAAAACTTAAGTAAGAGAAACTAGCGTAGATCAAAACGTCATCTACAAAAGCGTGGCAGTTGAAACCGTGCTTGTACACAACACCAAAAAGATCAGAGATAAAAACAACAATAGACCCAAGATTGATCCTTGTTGGACTCCAACGACAATTTTCTTTATCAGATTTCTTTCCCTACTGATTGAAAATTGCTGATCACAATCATTCAAATAAGGCGAAATAACCTCGAAAGAAATGTATCAGCAAAACCAAGCAAATACGTACTTACAGCATGAAAAGATGTAAATGTCTAAGCCTATAATAACTGATAAAGTCAATGAAAACAATAAACAAAGTTTTATTATTTAGAATAAAAATATGTGTATAATGTATTCAAATGTGAATGATTTAGCTCCTTTCTACATTGTTTATTTTCTACGTGCAAAAATAAAATTAAAAAATACACATTGATGATTAATGATCAAAAACAATTAACAAAACTGTGAATATTTGTAGGTCTGCGCCCTATATAAATACAGACATTTTCAACAAATTATATTTTTATTCTTCCTTTATAAGCAAAGATTTTCAGGTACTTCAAATTGAAGTATTGATTTTCGAAACAAAATAAAAGGCATTTTGCTATGATGTTTTATTAGGATCCACAATTTTAAAATAATTTGTAAAAAAAATTGAACTAACATTATATTTTTATTCTTCTTTTATATGCAAAGATTTTCAGGTACTTCAAATTGAAGTATTGATTTTCGAAACAAAATAAAAGGCATTTTGCTATGATGTTTTATTAGGATCCACAATTTTAAAATAATTTGTAAAAAAATTGAACTAACATTATATTTTTATTCTTCTTTTATATGCAAAGATTTTCGGGTACTTCAAATTGAAGTATTGATTTTCGAAACAAAATAAAAGGCATGTTTTATTGATGTTTTATTAGGATACACAATTTTAAAATAATTTAAAAAAACAATTGAACTAACATTAGGGAAAGTCATGATATTTCTTCTGCTATTTAATGTATTGGCTGCAAGAGGCACTACATTTACAAAATTAAAAATTTTTTCAAAACATTTCAATCATTGTTGACAACAAATTTTGTGGGCAAGTTTAAAATTTTGAAAACCAAAATGATTGATTAAATGACTTAAAACAAACTGTTAGGTACTATTAAAAATTTGACGTGAAAAACTATTTTTTCAACAATTAAAAAATGTATCTCCGTCCTAACTCAAAGTACTTACGCGTGTCAAGTTCATCAAAGTTATCTACGAGCGCATACTCCTCCATATTTTCCTTGACCTCGTCATTGTTAACAATGAGTTGTCTGGTGCTACAGATGCTTTCATCGCCAACAAGAAATGACCATTTGTATGAGACTGGCATGTCACCGCTGTTGCACAGCGTCATCTCTCTAGATGCTTCCGTGTCGTTCAGAATGCACCCAAAGTCAATGCTTGCATGTTCTAACGAGAGGTTTGGGTAGTTGATGACCACTTTCACCAGCAAGTCATCCTGTTGTATCATAAAACTTGGATTCACTTCCGAAGAACAAATTTCTTCATAGGAATTCAATATTTATAAAATATCATAGATCGGTAGTTATTAAGTTTGGAAAAGCAACAAAATTTAATATGATTTAATATATATTAAAGATAAACCAATTGTTTCCAAATAAATTTGCTCATCTTCTGTAACTCAATGGAAAAATTTAAAAAAAACATTTTGTGTCATGCTAATGTAATAAAAATTTAAAAACATCAACCCTTTTAAAATATGAATTTGAATAATTTAAAAAGAAAATGAATAAATCGTCCAAGTGTTTAAATAAGAAATAATTAAGAAAGAAGAAAGAAGGATGCAGAGTGAACCGAATTAGAATGGCCTTCATAGGTGATGATCAAACTGCTTTGGAAACATGCGCTTAACTTCTTCACTGCAAGCTCTGCCACTTGCAGAGGGTTGAACCAAACTTCCACTTCCTGACTTGCCCCCTCGACCATGTTTAATTTCTTTAGTGAACATTAAAAGAATCAATGATATAAATGTAAAAAAAATTGTTAATATCTTATTGAAATTTTTTATAGAAGTGATAAACCTGAATAAAATTGATCTAAAACCCACTAAAAACGTAAACTGTCCGTAAAATTAGTTTAGGTTGTAAAAGGGCAACATTGAACGCTGATGAACGCAATGAAACCTGGTTCGAATGATGTCGACGCAGAACTCGAATAATTATTCTATCCATCTATCTAGTATTCATAATTACGATTCGACTCTTGTACTTACTTGGACATGATATGCGCGAGTCGCAGTGGTGTTATTGAGTTTAGCATTTCTGTATTACAGACAAAAAATATGGTAAAAATAAACGGAAAAGGGTCAGTGAGTTAAGAGAGAGCTCTTTTTGCAACATTTAAATGAAAAATATTTGTTATAATCATTCTTCACCCCACTAGACAATCAAACCGATGTTTAAAATAACTTTAACTGGACGCATTTATCTCAAACTAGTCGATCCATTGGATAAATAAGCGGCTGGTCACAGTCAGTCGGTTAGTTAGTCGGTTAAAATTTACTAGATTCACGGTAAATAAATACCGCGAAATTTTACTTCGTCTACGGTAAATACCGCATGTGTTCATCAAAATTTATTAGGTCCGCGGAAAAATACCACGACATGTTTTTTTTACTCGGATACTAGGAAATTACTCAGAAGTCCATAACATTGACACCTTTTAAGGGTATTCAAAGTAATTTTTTATTTAGTAGTAATGATAAGGTGAAACTATGATGCAAATGTTGAAAATTTTTTCTGAGAGTATAAATCTGGAGTCGGGAGAGGGAGTCGAAAATTTTTATCCAGTGTCGAAATTTGTTGAGGGGGTGGAGTCGAATATTTTTCATCCAACCTCCGACACTGTAATTACAAGTGAGCGATGTCTACCTAGGAATGCAATATTTTTCTTAAAAACATCGAACCAACACGTTGGTTTGATTTTACTATCGATGTTTTTGGAATTTTTGAGAGTTTGACTATCGATATTTCATGAACGATGTGTCGATGTTTTGAAAATAACGATGTATCGTTTATATCCTCATCCAAAGATATGATTGATTTACAACAGACTAATTAATTTACCACGTCTTTCGCAATTTTTCAACAGTTCAGCAGCAATATTTACTGCAGATTGAAATTTTTCCAGGTCGGTCAGTCTGTTAAACAATCAACGCAGCAACTATTAAAACAATTAATGAATCAAACAGGCTTCTGCAGCGTAACACCCACAACTCACTCGGTTCTGTCTAGATTAGCAAAAAGTGTTTCTGAACAATCATTCAAGTGGTCCATCGGTCGATCACGGTCACACTGTCAATCAACCAATAAATCAATCGACCAATCTATCAATTATTCGTCAGTTTATCAAACCATATTGTGGTGCCTTTCTGAGAGATTTGGGTGAGAAAGAGAGAAAGCAGGATGATGAAGTTGTAGGTTGACGACCAGCGGCAAACTGGACACATTTGATATTTCAAAACATTGACACTCTTCATTCAATAACAGACCAGGCAACTATCGAGTAATAAAAACGTTCACATGTGCAAATATACAATCATTGGAAATCGCGTTATTAAATTAATATAAATATATTTATAATTTTCTACCACTCGTTTTGCATATAAAATGAATCTTAACCAATTAAAAGTTCAAATAATAATGAACAATTTTCATGACAATAATTTGAAATTAGTAAAAAACGGCATAGCGAATTCATCAGTGTTTTAAAAATGGAATGTGAAATTTAAAATAAAGTTGAAGTACAGCACAAAGACAAACAGTCAAACAAACCAACAAACCATATTATAGGCAAATTGAATAAGGCAGACATTCATTTTGATGAGCGGATCAACAAACACATATGTAACTTTGACTTCGTAGGCCAACTCTCTCAGTCCACCCTTTCCAATTATAACATGGCATAGCAATGTTTCCTCGCCAGAGCAGGGTCTTGTCATAAGTAATAAAGTTAATAAACATAATATAAATGTTTTTCAGCAAGTTAACTCAGAAAAAAAGCATTTTATGTGCATAATGCGTGCATACGGCAAACATTAAACCATTATAGCAAATTAAGATAGAGTTTATTGTATGTTCTCATCTTTTGACGTAGCTGACTAAATAAATGTTACCTAAACGTTATTCGCTGTAGAGAATATAATTTAATTGAAAAACATTATGATGAATGACAAGGGACATACGTCTGAGCAGAAGCTACGAGATCGAACGTGGCCTTCTGGTTAGGGAGAAGTTCCATTCGCTGGGGGTTCATAATGAAGATGGGACCGTGACATGTGAGCTGAAGTATCAACGTTTAAAGTTACTTCGATTATATTTTGGAAACTATTAATATAAATCGCTTACTAATGATTTTGCACGTTCTCTAACAGTTTTTTTATTCTTCTTATCACTCAATGTTGACCAAATGACGCTCTGCACTCTGCGGCCGGCATTGCAGACGGAATAGCTGCACTTGAACTGCGACTTGGTGAACTGAGGACCGATGCGAATGCCGTTCATCAGCTGGCTGTCGATGACCAGTGTCGGACCTTTTCCTTGAGCGAGCAGATCACATGTCAGGGTGGCTCCATGCTCAACATCTATCATTAACCTGTCTGTAAAGCTTTAATATAACGGGGCTATTTAATAACTATCTGTGATTATTTATTGAAATCAATTTTTCTCATAAATTAAACGTTTAAACTTTTTCAACATTTTGGACCTTACATAATAAAAAAGTTGGTTTTTTCACCACGTTCGTTTTTTTCTCTTGTCTTATACCTGATTCTAAAACTCTCGATTTTATCTTTGATTTGAGCATGTCTCTTTCTTTTCAAATTAATAGTCTTGGCTTGCTAGAGTTCTTACTTTCTTACTTTCATCGACGTAGAATAAAGACTTTCGCTTTTTCTTGACGATTCTTCTTCTACTTGTTAATTCATTAGTTTTATCTAGGATCGATTGTTGTAACTCGCTCAACTATGGTCTTCCTGATTCTACATTCTTTTCTTCAAGTAAAGCATTCTTTTTTCATCTTGTTCTTTTGCATTGGCTACTTATAAACTATAGAATAGTTTTTAAAATTTGCAAGTTAATGTACAAATCTCAATCTAAATTATTTCCTAAGTAATTATCAGATATGTTAATTCTTCTTATTCTTACTTCTTAACTCATGCTAAACAGTAAACACTCTTAAGCTTAATCTGCATTTGGTTTTTCTGGCTTTTTTTTCTGGAACTCTCTACCTCCTTCTCAAACTATTTCTTCATCACTTTCGAAGAAGTTTGACTGACTGACTGACCGACCGACCGACCGATCGATCGATCGATCGATCGATCGATCGATTGATTGATTGATTGATTGATTGATTGATTGATTGATTGATTGATTGATTGATTGATTGATTGATTGATTGATTGATTGATTGATACCACCAATAGTTTCATTACTAATAAATCAATGATTATCTAAAGTACTTAAAGAGATTATTATAAGTGATGGTTATGATAGTATCTGCTATTTGTGTCATTTTCAATGTTATTTTCAATATTTTATCACTTTCATTAAATTCAACGTTTCAACCCCAGTTTATTATATATTTAATATAACAGTGAACATTCATTTTTGCAGACTTTCCGAATTGTTGACATATCTCAACATCCTTAAAACAATTTCTATCTTTTATTGTACAATCCAAAGGTTTTCTTAATTTAACATTTTTAAATATACATTTTTATTTACGGAGCTACTTTTATTCTCAACAGATGTGATGCCCACAATTTTTCTAAACCATTCTAAAACTATCTCTGCCCCCCTTCTTTAGCATTTAAACAACTCATACCATGGTAACAGTATGAAAAACGCAGAGGGTATGGTGATCAAAAGTGCATGATGAACAGTGCATGATGAACAAAAGTGCATGATGAACAAAAGTGCATGGTGAACAAAAGTGCATGGTGAACAAAAGTGCATGGTGAACAAAAGTGCATGGTGAACAGACTTGATTGCATCATCGAGACAGGCAGTGATGACAATGATGATCGTGTCGTTTGGTGGAATGGAATCCTGCAGAGGTGATGCACTGAACACAACATTTTTTTGCTGTGCGCATGACAATTTATTATTAAATTTATTTTCTCATAAAATATTGTACTAATACGTTCAACATAATTAATAAAAAATAAATTAATTGCAATGAAGGACCACATTATTTCTCATTTTCATCCAAACCGTGTTTATCAGAAAATCGTAACTGCTCGCTGGCTTGAAATCTAATTCAATACATTCACTTGCAAGATGAATAAAAATGAGCAATAAACGTACTAAAAAAACCCTGAAAGAAGCGGGGATGGGAGATTGGTTGCAGAGGAACAGCTGCTTCGATACGCCACTCAGACAGCAGGTGCTGCCAAAGTTAATGCAAGTTGACGACATCTTCACCACGGGACCTTCAGCCTTACCAAACACGTGCACTTTCTGTTCAACACGTTTCAATATTTTTTAAACAAATATTTTAAAAAAGTATTTAAAGATTAGTTAGAAGTTTGAAACGCTGACAGCAAATGGTTTGTCTGATTTGAAAGTAAAGATATCAAGTGAGGCATGCAAGTCCTTCAACTCCTTCAGCACCATCGTCAAGGGAACTGCCGCACATGTCGTTGGAGCTATAATACCCTGCAGTCGTACGTAACAACAAATTTTCAGTTTTCATTTGAAACTTTTGTCAATCGTAATTTAAACATCATCCCATCATCAATTAATATCACAATAACAATGTTACGTTAATAAAACTAGATTGGTGTTTTATTATGATAAAATAAATAAAAACATTTTTGAGTTGAAAAAAAATGTTTTAGAGCTTAAAAAATTCCCACATCAGGCAGAGAGCTGAACAAGTCAATTGCTTTGTTAGACAGGCTTCCAACTTTATATCTGGCATAATGCTCAGTTGAGTTTTGAAGTTCGATGAATTTGGTGGCTGGGTGGTTGATGGGTACCCGGTCGTAGAAGAGGTTGGGCGAGAGCAAGGTCAGTTCTGGTAGAATGCATCTATTGAGAAGAAGGGGGGGTTAGCATGGTGGTCAAGTGGAGAACGATGAAGAATAAATTGCTGATGGATATGACAATGATTAAATGAACTGAAATTAAATATAATTATAAAAATTGAATTATTGAGTATGAGTGCAATTGCATGTAACGCGCGATACAATGCAAAGTTGTTTTTTTAATCACTATTATTCTTTAAAAAATCAGGATCTGGCAGACGCAGAAGCTGTTACAACATGCAAGGCCATAGAATAAAATGGTAACAAAAAAAGAATAAATAAATAACGGAGAAAAAAACGCTTAAACATAAAAGTGACGTGACGATGGTGGTGGAGGAAACTCAACTGAGCTCGGATAAAAATAGAGTGAGCGTCATTCTGCACTCCAACAACATCAAAGACCATCAGTTCTTCATAAACTTTTACTGTGTTTGAGCAGAAAAGTATACAAATCGTAGTACACGAGTGGCCATCTAGTTGACCATACGCGGGAGATATCGTGAATTCCTTTAGGCAAGTTTGTCTCTCTTTTTCACTTTCATTTTTGAATTTCAAAGAAATTTCACTGGAATCTGTAATGACGAACACGCATTAAAACGTTGCGTTCAAATTCTATTTTGTCATTTTTTAATCAATAAAATAATTTATATTTAATCAAATATTTATAAAACTGAAAATTTTTGAAAAATCGTCTAGAGAAACAACATTTAGATTCGATAGAAGATTTGTTGGGATTGTTAACATTTGCATCATTCGCTGGATTCTCGTCGCTCTCATTACATTCACCAGCAATGTTGCCATTGAAGTTGGAAGTTGGATGATCGTATGGAGACACCTCGGCGTCAACTTCAAATTCGCTGCCATTCGTATAAACATCTGCAAACAAAATAGCAATGATGAATTAAATGTGAAAAATTGCGTTTACATGTTTATTAAATAATAAAATATGTAACAAAATATATGATAACCTACATATTGAGTGAAATAGATAGATAAGTAAACGTACATAACCATCGACAAATTAGTTGAAACAATTCTTCCACAAACATAATATATTCAAATTTCAAATGATTGTTCCCAAGAAATGTATATAAGAAACTTGAAAGAAATTTTTAAAAAATGACGCTAGCACTAAAAGAGCGTTTTTGTACCGCCTCACGCTGTGTCTCAGTGCTCGGTTGAAGCAATGATTTCACCGTAGCTCATTGAAAGTTCTTGCATCACAGTGTCCGTGCAAACTCTACCACAGCTTCTTCTGTCACACAACCACAGCGACACAAAACACGTCAGTCACGAAATAAAAGAAGCATCTAAATGTAGTTGTATCTAAAAATTTTAGAAAACGACCTTGTTCATTGTATTCATCGTTGTTGTTATCATCATCATCATCTTCTTCCTCCTCTTCATTCCTTTCTCTTCCACAATCCTGGCAGCCTCCTTTGTTTTTTCGACACATGCATTTCTGTTTGCACTTGAAAATAAAAATAAAACGCCATCATAGTGAGTTTTGGGTAAAATAATAGTGAACAAGCGTAAAAATATTAAACAAAATATTCAACATAGATTTATAAATAATAACATGCAAACACATGAGTGAACATTGTAAAGCAGGTGTAGGTAACAATTCAATCAAATGTAGCAGTGTAACCAGTGGTGTCACAAACGTTGTTCAAAAATAATTGCTACTTTATCTAAAGTGTCCAATTTTGTTTGTCCTGCTTGCATCAATCCACAACAAATTCGAAATAGCAATGTTTTTGAAGCCATTAAGGTAGAGAAAATCACATCGTTTCAATATCTAGGAGATGTTCTGGATTGTATTGGAACAGCTGAAGCTGTCGTTCGAGCACGCATACGTGCAGCCTGGAATAAATGGCATCTCCTTGCCTCTATATTGATGCGGCGTGACATCCCACTACCATTACGATCAAGACTTTGTAAATCTGTGATACGTCCGATGTTGTTATATGGTGCAGAGACATGGCCAATGGCAACCAAACTGGAACAGCAGCTTCAACGAACCGACATGAAGATGCTCCGATGGATGCAACGAATTGGTCAGAGGGGCCACATCGAATCTACCGAAATCTTGCGTCGTGCTGGTTTGGATGATATAAAGTACGAATGCCGGCAACACCGTCTGCGATGGTTTGGTCAAGTCAAACGAAGTGGAAACAGTGCCATAGCTTCTCTTGCAAATGTTGAAGTACCTGGCACACGTCCCAAAGGCCGTCCAAAGAAGTCCTGGTCGCAAACAATCGAGCAAGACATGAAAGCTCTAAATTTAAATGAAATGGATACAACTGATCGTCTAATTTGGCGCAAAAAGTTTACTGTACATACAGATGTCATTGCATGTTCCAGGCATTAATTATATCCCATGTAATGGATATACATGGCATATCCACACATGCAAATAAGCAGGCTAACAAAAGTGCACAGTAAAAGTTGCACCAGATACCTACAAGCATGTACCAAAACAAAATGAGATAGAAGTACACTTATACAAACTTTAAAATCTTTTCTAATGGCATCAGCTCTTTCTGCTGCTGCATCTGTTCCATCTGAAGGAATCCTTAGCTGAAACTTCAGTGGCACGAACGACGTGTTGGTCAGCACAAAGGATCTAGTTACTTCAAAACCTTGCCAACAAATATAAACAGTGTTAAATGAACCATTCAACAAATCTGAAATGTTGTACCTATATTACGCAAAAGTGTTTTTTCAAATAGTTTTTTTACTCTAAATTTAATGACGAAATTAATTTCCACCTATCAGATTGCGTTTCACGGATACATGATAGCATGTATCATTAAAAATTAATTTTAGACGTCATAATGGTAAAAAGGAACCAAATAATTACGATAAAGAACTGCAGGCTAATAATAGTATTATAAACAAATTGAACTCAGCGAACCACACGAGACTGCACCGAAGTCCAACTGATCTACGCTGAACTGAAATGAAGGTGCCACTACACAACCCCTGTTGTTGTTGTTGTTGTTGTTTTTGTTGGTGGTGGTGGTGTTATCGTTGTTGTTGTTAATGGTGGTATTGTTGTTGTAGGTGGTGTTGTTGCTGTTGTTGGTGGTGGTAATGGTAGTGGTGTTGCTGTTGGTGGTGGTGGTAGTGTAGCTGTTGTTGTTGGTGGTGATGATATTAAAGTAGGAATTTAATCAGGAATTAAAAGCCGACGATGTGACGCATCACCATTACTACTGCCCATACTTCACAGTATTATTGGATAGAGCAATGGAATAAATGGAAACAACATCAGCGGTATGCAGCACTGACATTGAAGATGGAATTACAATGAACCTTAGGTTTTCTGGAGATTATGATCTACTAGTGCAGAAGGTTATGAGCCATGATCTTATGAAGAAATGCAAGCACTGGAGTATTAAAAACCGAATCTAAAAAACTACAACACGTTGACCATTTCGCGTACTAAAGCAGTTTTATATATAACCAGCGACAACAATTGCTTAAAAGATGTCGACAGGAGAAAAGTCACCACACTGAAGAATTTGGAATAAAAATAATACATATTTATAAGTAAGCGGTGAAATGAAAATGTATAAAAAAGAAACAAACTTGTAAATAACGAACAAATCTCTCGGTTGATTCGTGATTTCAAATTTAAATTTGCAACTAAAATGTCCGAGTGTATTGGCAGTGAATCTGACGCAAATTATTTGTTGAATATTTGCTCCCAAGTGACCAGCCTCTGGCTCAACTTCGAAACATGATCTGTCATTCAGATACATTATTTTAATGACGACGTTGAACATAAACAACGACGACCACATATGATAACAATTTCAAATTTCCATATTCATTATATATTCATTATAAACAGGTGTGGTCTACAAACTTCAGCTGGGAAGAACCATCCAAAAAAATTTTAAAATCTGCATCAATGAGACCCTTGTTAGCAAGAATGATCTCGTAAATGTTCGTTGTATGGAAGACCACATCACCCATGTCCAACGAATCGTACGACAACTCCACAGATGGTCCCTGAGCCTGGCCTGGAATGTTGAGCAATTTTCTAAATGATCGTCAACTTTAAATTCGTCATGAAATGAAATGATCGTCAATGTAATGTAATTTAATTAAATGAAATGATCGTTAATGTGATGTGATGTAATTAAATAAAAAATCGTTAATGTAAAGTGATGTAATGACCTTTAATGTAAAGTGGCAGCCTGGTCTCCCTGCCCTCCACATCGCAATACATGATCGTGTCCAAGTGACCATCAGAGCGAGGAGCAAAAGTAACTTTAATGTCGACAGATGAATGAGGCCACACACATCCCTCGCCTGGATACATCTCCACAACATTTCTAACTGCACCATCACTGACCGCAACTTGACCAGCACAACTTTCGGGCAGCGGAACGATGGACTTGATGAATTTTATATTATCAGTGTTGACAAAGTTTTTTGACGTTTCTATAGACAAAATATCACAATTGACATATATCTTTATATCTTTGTTTTTATCTTCCATCGGGAAATTATTTTGAGATGAAAATACAGTATCTGCATTGAAATTGTTGATAATTTTGTTGTTCACTAAATTGTCTGTAATTTCAAGTACATTTGTGGCTAGTTCACCACTGTTCACAGGTTCGTTGGCTGTTTGGGGCTGATTGAAATTCATAGACTCAGTCAACGACACAATGTTTTTAATCCTGAATATATCAAAAATCATTAATATCAACAGTAAAATTAAAACCAAGATGTAGGAGTATTTAGACACGTATAATATACAAAGATATGTATGTAATATATATGGACGGTTCACCGACAAAATGGCGCCGTCAAAACCGCGCCAACGAAACATCGCCGACAAAATCGCGCCCAACAAAACAACATAAAAACAAAACGCTGACGAAATAGCGTAATATGGCATTGTTGGTAAAATTTTGGAAAAATAAAAGCGTGAATGTTTTTTTTATAAAAAAAATTTGCAAACCTAAATTTTAACAAATTCATTAGTTATTGGTTAGTATTTCAAAATAAATTTTTAAAAATATAAAAATAAAACAAAGTTCAACCAAATAATAAACGTTATTATTTTAAACATATTCGTAAGAGGTTTTGAAAATGTAAATTACAAAGTCAAACTATATGCAATGTGACGTAAAAATTACGTTCGCGATATGGTGTAATAAGTTGGCAATATTGTTGTTAGACGTTTGTTCAGTTTGAGATATTTGGATTTGCTGGCAGCTTTGATTAACTCCTGTTCTTTTCGGAAGTGATCAATAAGCTTGTAAACATTCGGATGGTGACAATAAACAGAACGCTGAAATGCATGATGCCACCCATCCACTGAGTTATTTGTTCATGGCAGATTTCCCTGCACCAGATCGCAAACATTCCAAAAGTCACTAGAAATCTCGGTGTCACTTGACGATTTTGTTTCTCACGACTACGACTAGTATAATTATATTCCCAGTATTTGTATACTCTTTAACAACATCTGGGCAAGTTCACTTAGCACTCCAAATGCAGGGGAGACTTGATGCAGTAGTAGAACAAATGAAAGAGTTAGAAGCCTTTTTAAGAATAATTGTATGTTTTCATTTTTCAATATGCTGTATATGCAGTAGTAAGATTTTCTTCTGCACTTTACGCCCGAGGCATTGTCCAAGGTGGAATAAACAACCAAATAGTTTGTAGGTTGGAAATACGGTGCTTATTGCATTCTAAATCGCCTTTTCAAAATCCATTATAACATATCCATAATAATAGGTAGGTTAAGTTAATGGTTTTTTACGATTTTGTTCCAAAGTTTAAAAAATAATAATTTATAACAATTATTCTAATGATTTCGTGTCAGCGCATTTAAATTTTACAATTTCAATTATAAATTGACATTTAATAAGTGATGATTTCTGGATTTACTTTTGCGCCATTTTGTCGCGCTCCATTTTGTTGTACGCTATTTTGTAGGAAAATTTTTGCGCTGTTTTACACCATCTTGTCGGCTCTACTTTGACGAGTCACCAAATATGGATATGATGATGGCATTATTTGTAGATATGTACGCATATTACATACTTAAAAATGCATATAATGTGAGTAAATATATATTTATTACACGTAAAATTGTAGATAAATATATATATAACATATGTAGATGTTTGCAATGTATGTATGATGTACGTAGATATTTATATAATATACGCGGATATGTATAGAATATACATTATAATTGCGTACAATTGTAAATAATTAGCATCAAATTTTGTTACAAATGTTGTTAATGCCGGGAGCGATAGTGGAGATTAAATTCTACAACCTTTAAAAAGGTTCCAAAGGCATATGTCTAAAACAGTCATTTACAACCAAGCCTAGCTTATGGCCTTTGCGTATGGCTTAAGTAAAAACCCAGAAAAGCTGTTTTTAGTAGCTTTTTACTAAAAGAGACCAAAAAAGGCGAAAGCCGTCCACAAGCGCTTTAAAAACAGTAACTTAAGACAGGTTGGGTGGAGTTTACGATAGCTTACTCATAAAATGGAAAGTTCTGTTTCTAAACTTCCGCAGCTTTCTAGCATACCCTTTCATGGAAAAGTTTCAATCAATCTTCGCTTTGCGTCCAGAGACCCGGTTTCCCGAGGTAGGACGTTGTTTTCTTTGCCATCAACTTTTTGCGCCAAATTAGACGATTAGTTGTATCCATTTCATTTAAATTTAGAGCTTTCATGTCTTGCTCGATTGTTTGCGACCAGGACTTCTTTGGACGGCCTTTGGGACGTGTGCCAAAAAAAGTTTAAAAAATGGAATTTCATGGAAAAGTTTAAGAGACTAAACCGTGACAGAAATTCAGGAACTGAAGTCTATAGAAAGACACAATATTTTTCAACACAGGCAAATCCTGCAACGTAGTTTAAAAATAAGCTATATCAAACTCGTTTTTTTCTTTGATCTTTCAACGGCATAGAGAGAGATTGCTGCATGGGCAATGGCTGACTCTTTATACCAACCTTTCAATACACTGGAAACGACACTCCAGCATCATCGCTAGATGATGGCACAACACGGAAGAGACAGGTAATAAGCTCATACGATTGGCGTAAGCGGAACAAGCGCCTAGTGTTTTTTTGACGCTGGAAGCATGGCCGGTCGGTCTGACAGGGAAGCTTTAGAGTTGAAAAATAAACGAAAACGGGGCTTTTAAATTATCCCGGCCTTTGTGTGACTAATACATTTTTTAAGTACAAAAATATTCATCAGATGTCACGGAGTCTGTTTGCAAATATATAATACTGCCCCATTTAATTTAAATATTAACAATTTTAATAACTTTATACATTTGGTAGCCAATAAATCAATTGATCAACGTATTATCAAACAAAACTTGAATTTCAACAAAAACTTAGATTACAAATAATTGATTAATGATAGCTAATTAATTTTCTTCAAAAACAGTTGAATGCGCAATCTCACCTCAGTTTCTCCATGTTTTCCTCCTGCATGCTGGCATATTGACTCCACCTGTAGTTGGCTACTATATTTGATCGATTAATCAGTGTCACAGATTTAGAAGAAAGCATGTTGATGAATGTGTTGTCCAGTCTCACCACGTTCTTCTCCAACCTTATTATCTGGTCCTCACTCATTCCACACAGTTCAACGTTCACATCCTCACCTGAAATAATTTTTTTTATTATTTAAAAAAAAATCAGAATCTGACAAACGCAGAAACTGTCACAACATGCAAGGATAAGTATAAAAGAATAACGGAAAATAAAAAACGGATAAGTATGAAAGAATAACGAAAAATAAAAAACGGAGTAAGATCGTTAAAGCATATTATACACAGAAAAATGAAATAATAATTTAAACAATTACAATAACACCCACAAAATTAAGTTAAATAGCTATTTATAGCCATATTTATTTTCATTATCATTTTTCTCAATCAGTCATTCAAAAAAATGTAAAAAGAGAAACCTGTGTGGTAGTGGATGATGAGCAGGCCTCTGTGACAGCCAACACACATGGGTCTGAAGCCCAGAGTAACCTGCATGCTAGCATTCACTTCTAAACATCCTGTATCCGGTGTCACTGTGAAAGGACTGGCAAAACAAATGCAATCACAATTAAATTTATTGGTTTTTATACAATATTATCAACTTTATGATCATCACTGTTTTTGCAATTTCTGCATATTTTCGGACGTCTCTGAAACAGTTAGTCAAACGCATTATCCTTTTATAACGACACCACGTCCTTCGGCGCAATTGCAAGCAATAGAAATTGAAATTGTCCTTCAGTATTCTTTCTATTCTCTATAGTGCAAAAAAGGGCAGCATTGACAAAAATTCATTAACCTTGCAATAGAGTGCTAATATTGATTGTTGCTTATTAGATAATGACTCAAATGCTGTATAGTTAATGTCAAAATTCAAGTTTTATATTTAAATGGGGTACATGTTTCTTCTTTTCATTCCACTTTTAAAAAACTTGTTTAATTTGTTAAATTTTACCAAGTTCCTGAAATTTCACGTTATTGTTCATTCTATATTTCGAATTTAATAACCGCTGTAAAGCTAAGAGGGCTACAGTTTATTTGTTTTCAAGCAATTTATCAATGAAATTTCTTCTTTTTTTCATAAAAATTGCAAACTTGTTTCAAGTGTTTAATAGACCTTGAAAAGATTGCAGCGAAAAAAACAGACATAAAAGAAAGCATGGTGTAATGAAAAAAACCAAACATAAGTACTACAAATATACATTACAAGACTAAGACAACAGAAGCAGTTACGTTTCATCTCTTTATATTAAGATTTGATATTCATCATATGTTTATTTGCTGATGTCATAAATGTCATACTAGTAAGTAACGACATATTAACATGTAGTTGCAAGCGATCAAGAATTGAGAGGGATAATCCAGAAAAATTTACGCTGTGTTTCAGTTTGTGAAGGAGGCATATTTGTTCCGTGTTCCTAAGCAGACAGAATGAGGTTAATTTCCGTTCGGTTCATGTACCAAGTTTTTAAATTAGCCGTAAAAATTATGCTCTACATATGTTTGAAAAAATAGATAACAAAGAAAGCATTTATGGTCTGGTTTAGAACAAAGACATCAGACTGATGCCCGCCCGAGATGATCGCGAGAATGAAGTGCAAGACCTAGTAAAACAGAGTAATCCTTCCATTGTGGGTATCACGGAGAATAGTCAATAAAAATAAACCTTAAAAATTATTCGACGCTTATTTTAAGCGCTGGACGAAATGGTAGAGTATGCTTCGTATGGGAATAGATTTGCTTTTTCATTACTCTCCAAAAATCGGCAAACTTCCATATGTTATAATTTTTTACGTTTTTAGCGCAATACTATGCCAGATTCAACAACTAATTTTCATGCACAGCGTAAAATTTTTCAAAAACCTTTTCAAAAAATTATTAAAAAATTATTTAAAAACCAATTTTGAAAAATATTGCACAGAAAACATCATATTTGAAATCATGACGGATGAAACAAATGTAAAAACAAACAGCCACCAATCTGTAGAAAGTGTAAAATGAGCTGTGCAATTCCCAATGTTTCTTATAAAAATAGTTTTGGATGTTAAGTATTTGACTGGACAGGCGGAAAAATCTATGACATCATTGAAGTCCAGTATTGCTCTTGGTCCGATGGCTTTGATTGGTACAACGAACTCTTCTCGCTCTGTTGTACATACGACTTTATGCTCATAATCCTAATTAAACAAGAGACCCATATGATGAAAATATTAAAAATTGCAATGTATGAAAATAGTGTCATACAAGTTAAAGAATGTAAAAGTTTATTAAAAATATATTATGATGACAGTTTTTATGAAAAAAAAAATTTCAATTAATGAATTTAAATTTATCAAAATAAAAAGAATAAATAAGATCTGAATACAAAATAAAGTTTAACTGTAAACTGACTTGACATTCTTGAGGTGAGAATAAAATTTTGTAGGTAACGGATAATCCCGGTCCAATCTTGCCTAGAGCAGGAGGAGAAATTATTTGAAAGTATGGGGAATCTTGAATTGAAACTTTTACACACCTTGGGACCTATGTTCATTTTATTGGGACACTTTTACTATGTTACTATTTTGTATTTTCATGTCTTAAACCAGTTCTAGATCAACAAAATATATTCTATTCTTAAGCTGAAAGTTTCTTTATAAAACCAAACACACCATTCCTCCTTGTATAATAAACACAAAGAGTTTAAATTAAAAAAATAACATATGTAATTATACATGAAAAAAAATGAAATATACAACAGATCATGAAGATTCAAGAATTTATAATTAACTAATAATCAGTCAATAAAAAAAAAATAACTAAGCATTATTTTTTATAAAAAATTTTTATTTGAAAGAAATTTCTCACAGAATCATCATTTCGAAGAACAAGAGGCAAACTGATATCACAAAATGGATTAAAATTCCTGAATATGATCTCTGATGGAACCGGTTGAAAAAGTGGTTGATTTGGAGGAACTGTTGTGTTCTGGATTAAAATATTATTTTGAAATTTAATAAAATTAAAAATAGCAAAAAACATAAAAATAACTTTGCTGATATATAAACATAAAACTCAGAAAACTAACAAGCTGAAATGAAATTTGTTGCAGGTCAAATAATTTAGTTATAAATGCAGTTTTAGTGACATGTTGGTACTTTAACCATTCATCTGAGTTCAGTGTCATATTTGCTAAATACTGTGATGGAGTAAAACATTTCTGCAAATAAAATTTTTAAATAATTGAATAATTTAGAAGCAGAATTTTTAAAATTTAATACAATTTATTGAAATTTTTTCTCCACAAATGCTATTAATGACAACACATGATAATACTATTTGTATTTAATAATCATTGTTCAACATTTTTCAATTAGTAAATTTAATTTAATGACGACTAAAATAATGAATGCATGATAAACATCAAGATGCCATGAAGATTCAAACAATAATTCTTAATTAATAATAAATATATAAAAACAAAGTATATAATAAATAAATGGAACAAATGTATGATGTAATATTAATTTAATTATTTTAATTTTAATAAAAAACACCAAAAACACATTACATTATATTACGTCGTAAAGTAATGATTACATTACGTACATCGTAATGATTACCATTACATCAGATAAAAAGCTGATTTAATCATTAATATTAATTTAATATTAATTAATATTATTAAAAATTTAAAATATTAATTAAATTATTAAGTAGTTAAAGGTTAATTTTTAATTTGAAGTAATAACAATAAATATAACGTGTCTGGTGTCTGTAATGAATCGTAATGTAAATTCTAAATTGTAATGAAAAGATTACTATTACTATTACTCACATTGATATCGGAATCGACCACTTTTCTGTTTTTGAAAACAATCGATTTTGAAACATTTTGTAATTTTTTAGTTGAATTACAATTGGTAATCATTTTGTTTAAAATCTAATACGCTGAAGTCGGACGATACTCGCCTCCTGGGAGACAACTTTCACTAAGTTGTTGCTATGGAAACTCAAAACTTAAAATTAGTGATGAGCCATCTACCAGCACCGGTCGATTCGAAAATTTCCGTATGTCGATAAATATTTTTTATCAAATTTAAACTTGTTGAAATCTTTGTTGTAAACAATTAAGTAGTGATATAAATAATATAATTTAAACAATAAATTACATCACTTGCAGATTTAAGGGGTGGGCGGTATTTGTATTAAAAGTGAGTAAAACGGATTGTTTTAACTGAAAAAAACGTAAAAAGACAAAAAATTGACATTAGGAGCGCATAAGAAAAAATGTCGGCATTCTCCGGTCAACATGGCGTCAACATTCAACCATTTTAAACATTATTCAAAATGCCCCCCCCCCTCCCCCCAGTCATTAACTAATTTTTTTAAACCGTCCCCTTCGTTAACGTTAACATTTCGAAAATCTTGCCCCCCTCCTCCTCTCTTCAAAATTGTCTAGATCCGCCACTAAACTGCATCAACCTAGACAGACGACGTTTAACTAATTTTTTTAGTTTTTTAATTTTTTTCACTTCTAAAAGCATTAACACGCTGTATGTAATAAAACAAAATGTTACAAATTATAAATTCAAGTCTACAGAATTTCAAATTGGAATCGTATTTATCCCGTTGAACGTTATACTGGAAGCAAGAGAAGAAATGACGTCTATTATAATTGGTGCTGGTGGACGTTCTTAAAACTTTATCATTCACACAACAACTTTTTATTCATCGATCACCTCACTAACTACTAAGTCATCATCTAGTCTATTAATTTGCGTTTTTATGCCATTACCTACTTCATTTTGTTGACAATTTATTTTATTTTATTTATTTTATTATTATTTATTTTATTTTTCATGTTTAAACATTTTTCTTTTTCCGTTTTCTTATTTATTTATTTACTTATTTGTTTAATTTGGTGCTACTGCCTTGCATGCTGTAACAGTTTCTGCGTCTGTCAGATCTTGATTTTTAAAGAATAAACAAAAACTTCAACATGCGATCGTTTACATTGTTAAAATACAGTGTAATAATGACGTAATTGCTAAACGTATCTTCATGTAATTTTTAGTTTCATTTATTAAATACAAAAGTGTAATTTGGTAATGATACATATCTATATACATTTCAAATATTTACTAATGTTAATTATTAAGTTAGATAATTGATAATTTAATTTTGATTAACGCACATTCCTTTGACGTTATTAGTCAACTAAATTTTTAAAAAAATTCAAATTTTTTTGATTGCCATAACTTCTTTTTCCTTGTGCCTTATTCTTTCAGAACATTGGCGACCATCGACCTCCACAAAACACTATCTTTAACACTTTGTAGCAGTTTTAAAAAGTGACGCAAGGACTTCACAAATGTAATTTGTTGTTGGCCGTGATCTTTTCTCCCTGCAATCTTTCCAGTTTCCAGTAGTTGTTAGATTTTCCAGTCCTTCCTCCCGCATGATGTGACTGGAAAACTTTAACAGCCCCTGTCAGATTATTTATAGTAACCGAACTGTTTTAATACATCCTCATTTGAAGTATGAAAGGTCCAACCAATTTTCATAATTTTTCTCAAAAACCACATCTCAGCAGCATTAATCCTTTTTCTATTTTTTTAGAAATCGTCCAGGACTCAGAGCCGTAAGTGAGCACAGAAAAAATCTAACAGTTTAAATTTTGTTGATAATCTGATTTTACTGTTTTTCATTTTAGAATATACATCTTTTGCCATAGCTATCTTTCGTTTGATATCCACTTCACATTTAGATGAGATAATCAGACTTCTGAAAAAATCGAAGCTGTTGACATGTTTCAATTTACCGTTAATGAATATGGAGCAGATGAAAATGGTCTTGCTTTTACTAATAACCATGCACTCTGTTTTGTTGATGTTAAGTTGCACGCCTTTTTTCACTTTCAAAAACCAATTTGAAAACAATTGTTTGCAGTTTTTCCATTGGTTCCGCTTTAGGAGCTGTATCATCAGCATATCTTACATTGTTTATATTCACACCTCTAATGAATATTCCGGGTAGATCTTCCTTCTATCTTTCTCACAATGATCTCACTATAGAGATTGTACAGGTCTGGAGAGAATACACAGCCTTGCATAACACCTTTCTTTATTTTGACAAAACTAGTCGTCTTCTTATCAACTTTTATTGCTGCTCTTTGGTCCCAATAGAGGTCTTTGCTCTTGTGTCTTTTCCATCAATGTCCAAATTTTCCAATATTTCCAAAAGCTCCACGTGTTTCACGCTATCAAAATCTTTGGAGTAATCAACAAAACATGCAAACAAGTCTTTCCATCGCCACGACTATGTAGCATCTTTTTCGAAACGTCGGTTTTTGAATTCATAACTTTTAAATAATTTTCAATAAAAGTGAATAATCTTGGACAGTTAATTTTTGATTCAAATTAATATAATAAAAGACTAACTTGAATAAAAAACTAAATATATATAATAATAGCATCTTTTTAATTAAAACGATTTATTTGAATGATAAATTATCACTCAAGTCCTAAATATACAATCATGTGTGTATATTCTATATGTATGATAAAATCTATCTTTAATTTATTGTGTATATACATTTATTTTATATGTATTTTCAGTATAATATGCATATATATAGAATTATATATATATATATATATATATAATAATAAAATAATATAGAATAAAATGATAATATTGAGTTATTGAATGGAAGTCCTTTCCACATCGGTTGCCGTGAAGTCACGAACGTGAAACATTGATCTAAATTCGTTTACATTTGAATCTGTATAGAAATACATGTATCTGTATATTATATATATTTTGATAATAATTTAATTTATTTTTAATTTATAATATAATAATATTTAAATGCAATAAAAAACAATCGAGTCAGAGGAAATCTAAAAACAAAATTCGCGTTCAAGTAGCTTTTTTGATTTTTTTTATATTACAATTTTAGTTTTTAATTTTTTTTTATTTAATTTAAATTTTATTAAAAATTTAAATTAAAAGTAAAACTTTTATTTTATTTGATTATAAAATTCATAAATTTTATAGTAGATTTATAATTTTCATAAAAAATTGAAAAAGTGTGTGTAATTTAATATTTTAATTCAAAATTGATGTCATGAATGAAGTTAGCACTTTTTCATTTATTGTCTGTTTAATTAAATGTCACTGTGTAACCTGTGTGTTGTAACATAATAGAATTGTCAGGCATTTTACCGCTATAATTCACCATCAGGCTGCCCCCTATATAAATAAACATATAAAATTATAAATCACCTAGTGATCATAAAATGTACAAATATAAATAAGTTATATTTTATGTATATAATATTATATATATTATAGTCTACAGTGTATAAACACCTTTTTTAAGCAATATAGAATATTTTCTCTGAACAAATTCTACATAACAAAATTTCTAGATTATAGGTGAATGATTGTCTTTCTAATTACTTATTATTATTATTATTACTAATTATATTATTTCTATTACTAATTTCTTTCATTTACTTTACATTGTAAAGTAAATGAAAGAAATTTGTAATTTATTTTTCTTAAATTATATCATGTCATGTAGTGGTCATTACAATTTAAGAATCATTTAGAAGAGTATGTATTTTAATGATGTGGTCACACTGACTGTTAAACATGTTAGTTTATGCTTCAACTCATCTCTATAGTTCAATGTGCTTATAATTGTACTCTTGCTAAGGTTGAATCTATTGTCTGAAACCATTAAAACATCCATAATCATTCTATATAATGCAATGATTTCAAATTTGATGTAGAATAAAAAAGTTATAAATAATTCTGAATTTTGTTGTTACTGGCACTGGCAAATAAAGAGTTTGAAGATCTCTTGAAATTGCAAGATATTGCTGGAACATTTTTTGCATCTAGTTGTTTCATTTCGATGATTTTAGTAACAAATAAACAGAGAAATTGCTTTGAAAAATGCACTCTTGGATATGTAATTTTTTTAGAAAGAATTGTCATCATTAATATACTTTTATAGTTTGAAGGATAAATTAATGATTTGAAAAGAATTAATGATTTTTCGCATGAGTTATGTTGTTTGTTGATAATGTGGTGATGTTTTTCTGAAAAGGGTGGTTTGGCAATTTTATGAGTTTAAAACAATTATTTGCTTGGTGATTCACTATTGTTAACTTGTTCTAAGCATTATATATAATAATAATATTAATAATAATAATAATAATTTGTGACTTGAATAATTGATAACTTTCAGGTTTATGGTTCAGTTGTTTTTTTTCAAGTTTTTACATATCAGCTCAATAAATAATTTTATGGATTAATTAACATCCTGCAACTAATATTAGAGTTAGGCTGCATAGTAGTTCTAATTTGTGCAATTTATTTGAAAATCATAAATGTCTTGACTTTAAGTAATTGTTGGATTAACCATTGAAGAGTTGTTAATATTTTTTCTAAGATTTTAATTAAAATATTTACTTATCACTCATTGCTGTAATATTCGTTTACACATATCATAGTACTTGCTAATAATCAGGTTGTTCATCAGATGATGTTCGGAGCACATTCACTAACATCTCTTGGTCCATCGGATCGATACCATTCCAGTGCCACCATCAACAGCTACTCCTCAGCCTGGAGCTCCCCTGTCCTCGGACAAATTTACAAAAATGGAAAATTTGGCTCTCTGCAGTCTCTGTTTTCCAGCAAATTTTCAACAAAGAAGTCATCATCTCATTCATTGTCACTGGCATCACCTCGTTCACGAGGTTCAACGTGCTCATCCAACAAAGAACCTAACCCTTCCGTTGCATTTCAAACTTTCAAGTTTCTGAAAAAGGGATTGCAGTTGAGTTTTCTTCTTTAAAATGTTTCTAATATTCTTTTGTTCATTGAATTAATTTTTCTTTAAGTTTTGTTTACCATACAACGATGCTTTGGATTTGGGCCAGTTTATTTTTGGATTCATATTTAAATATAAACAAATATGAATCTAAAACATTGTTTTTATTTTGATATTAATAAACTGAATAAATATTTCATATATATATATATATATATATATATATATATATATAATATTATGTCTCTCACACTGCTGTAGGGAATATATTGAATTGGTGGATAGGAAATTTGATCAGATGACAAAAGGCAGAGAAGCTCCAATCACATCAATGGCTAGAAGGGTGTGTTAAAATATTTTTATATGACTTTCCTAACTTGTTTGTGTGTTTTTAATGGGTGTTAGTGTATATGTGTGTGTGCGTTGGTGTGTTTACGTTTGTTTGTGTGCGTGTGCGTGCGTGCGTGCGTGTGTGTGTGTGTGTGTGTGTGTGGTGTGTGTGTGTGTGTGTGTGTGTGTGTGTGTGTGAGTCTGCCTAACATTGTTCAAATGTTCCTGGCTGTTGACAGAATTCACCACTTTTGGATGAGGGTGTGTTTTATTCCTTGGATTGTATGTTAATTAAAAATTGCAGTGTATATTACAGTGATGATGACGATGGCGATGATAGTAGTGATGATGATGATGAAAGTAGTGATAATGATGAAAGTAGTGATGATGACGATGAAGGTGATGAAAAAGAGGGCTTTGTTATTTTACATAATAAAGAAATTTATGTTTCCTGCCTGGTGTGTTAAGAAAAATATTGATGGCACTAGTGATGATTATGATCGTGATAATGATGATGGTCACTCATGAATGATTATGATGATGGTGATAATGAAGGTGGTTGTGTGTAATAATTTTTACTGATTTGTTTGTACAATTAATTTCAACACTTCTTAGTTCAAAAGTGAAGATTACTCAAGAGTTTGTACTGCATATAATTATTGCTTTTAATAATGTGCTTATTATCATCTTCTTGATCATTCCTTTATTTAACAATTGGCTATTATTTACAACACTACAGCACTTACGTCACAGAGTTCACATGACAATTCTCACATTAATGTTCACTAACCCACTAACTCGTGCTTCATGAATAGGAGAATGTTTCTAATAACTCTGCTTTTTCAATGCATTTTGACATGTGAATTGTTTTTAATGCCAGCAGATGTATTAGTTAATCGTTCATTGTGTCCTATAATTATTTGACAAGGTAGAAACATCTCCGGGTAGTTGATTGTTCGCTGGTAATGCTTCAGTGTGCTTCTTGCATAGCATGTTTGAAGTTATTACTGGTTAAATGAACAATAATGGAACCATGCGTTGGGGTGGTGTATTTGTTCACAGCATTCGTTGGGCTGCATAAACGGTGTTGATCGATCGTGCTGTGACGTCTAAAGGTTTCTTATCACTCTTACTTTACAAATTTTTTCTGATCAACTACGACTTGAGATAGGCTAAAATTACCTGCTTAATGAGTTCTTTGTGTCGATCTTTATAACAGTTGGGTGATGATGATCATCACGTGATGACTTAATAGTTTGGTGATACACGATGACGATGATGATGATGACAATGAGGACGACGACGATGTCCGTCTTAGGAAACAGTTCTTGTGCAGCCCAGCGTCTGCACTGCTGTGTGAATGAACACCGTTTCTGTAGTCGAACAGAAAGTTTAATAAAGTATATGATGATGATGAAGAAAAGGAAGCGTTTAACTTATGGATTTAAATATAACTGACGTAAGTTGAAGCAGTAATTAACTGTAAGCTCTTGGGTGGGAATCATCAACACTTGACTTAATATCTGTCTTGTATGTGCTTTTCATCGCATGTTCATACAAATATCTTGCTTGTGTTACATGTTCATGCAAAGACTTTTTTATTCACCTTTCCATGAATGTGTATGGATGGATATGAATGTGTATGGATGGATATGAATGTGTATGGATGGATATGAATGTGTATGGATGGATATGAAAGTGTGGACATGAGTGTGCGTGCATGAGTGAATTATGGATCTAACGTACTTGAGGGAGCATGGATATGCTTCGAACGGTAAACTTTTTACGGTAAACTTTCAAAATGAAAATGAATGTGTGTGATAGTTCTTTTACGGTAAACATTTTATAAAAATAGAATTTGTTTTGTAATCGACTTTCTACGATAAATTTTTCATAATGAGTTAATAACATCATGATTCTCGCATTCGCCTATGTAATGATCCTTTAGCGATAAACTTTTTAAAATATGCCAAAATTGATATTTGAATTTGTTTCTGTAATGAACCTCTACTGTGAATTTTTCATGTCGATTCAATCTTTATTTATTTAATTGTCAATATTATGGGAGGCGAACATTATTTACTTTTGAAATGCAAATGTATAAATTTTTGTGACGTATGTTCGCGTGCACGAATTGCCATCATTTTTAATTTCTTCATTTTCAATTAACTTTGTTGAATTTTTTGTTGAACTTTGTTGAAAGGACAACTTTAGTTAAGGCACTATCACAAGTATTATGTTTACTTTTCTGTGCTTCTTCCAATAAATAAATAAATACTAAAGCCTGAAACCACACACACACTTGTTTGTGGCATGTTGGGCAATTCATTCATGAACCGTTTAATAACGATGTCCGTCTTAGAACACAGTTCTTGAATGAATACCGTTTCTGTAGTCGAACAGAAAGTTTAATAAAGTATAATGAAATTTCTGAACACTGTTTAACTAATTTTTACTTCTTCATTTTAAAAATATAAGCAAATTCAAAAATTTAATTACTTAATTTGAATAAATTTTAATTGTAAAAAAATAAAAATAAATTGAAATCATCAATAAACGTGAAAGCAATGGAGTGGAGAAAAATTCTAAAAACCGGTTTCAGACAAAATTTTTATATTTTAAATGAAAAAAATTTCAATAATTTCATAACACTAAAATTTCACTTGACAATGTTGAAAATAATAATAAATTTTAAAATCATTAACTAAAATATTAAAATCAAATGAAATTTTAAAAAATAAAATCGATCCAAAAAATTTGTAAATGAAGAGTTTAAAAATCGCATAAAGTCACCCACTTTAATCGGGAAACTTTAGACATGCGATTCTCGTTTTGGCAAAAGGCCTAAGACCAGGATTGATCAATAGACATTTTTTATAGACAAACCACCGAGTCATGTCTCAGAAACCAGAATTGCGCAACATGCCTACTAGCGTTTATCTAGGCTTAACACTTTCTGCACCCAATTATGCTGATTCATTGCTTGTTTAAATTTTATGGAAGCACATGTATGCTTCACCCAGGACTGAAAAGTTCAATCCTACACCAGTGACCATTTCATAAATCTCTGACTCCAGTTGTTCAGCAGCATCCAGCACAGACTTCAGCATGTTTTTACACATATTTCTTCTAATATATGCAGTGTCCAATGTTCTCATGTTTGTTGCTATAGTGAGCTTATATCCATTTAAGCATGAATTTCGATCCTCAAGTTTCCATCCAGCAATATGAATGTTGCTTTGACTATTTTCATGGCAGCTTTTCATTTCAAAGAAATCGTTCTGTGTCCAACTTGTTTGGCTGTGTTTTTTCATCAGACGCTTTCGTTTTTTATTTGATTTTCATATTTCACATCAATGTTTCTTCTTTCGTTTTCATTATTTCCTTTATCAATTACATTATTAGAGATTTTTTTTATTATTTTTCTTTTCTTCTTCGAATAGGTTCACCCTTTTGTGGTTAATAAATGTTATCTTGTTCTCATGCTATTTATGACCACACCCACCTTACTCTACTTACTGCCTACCATAATTTATTTCTAGTTTCTAAACATTCATCGTTTTTTTACTTAAATTTTTGTATCCACTATGTATTGTATACACAAATGGAATCATTGATCAATAATATTTTATTGTTTCTATACAGAATTTGAAGGCAGCAGAGAGGTATAAGAAGAGATTGGAATATCAACTCAGCAGGGTCGGCGTTCAATTATTTCATTAATTTAAAAAATTTTATTTCATTCATAGAACTATCTTAACATTATTGTCAAACATTTGAACAGGTCGAAGAGCTGGAGGAGAATTATGATTTTCATTTCAAACTGATGAAAGGTAACGCGCTGATGTCATGTGGATTCAAATATGTTACATTCGTTTTTGCTTTTGCTTCATTTTGTTACAAGTTTGGTTTACATATTGCCTAGTTTTATACCAATTGTTCAAAAAGTTGTAGAGATGAGTAACTTCATTTGGAGATCAAATTTTGCACAGAATAACGATGTAGAGACACAATTGAGATTTTAGTTCTAGAGTTATAATGCTAAGATCGATTATCATTTCTTTGATTCAATTGTTGGAATATTACTTGCAGGGCCATCCAGTGGCGGATCTAGACAATTTTGAGGGGAGCGAGACCAAAAATTTGAAAATGTTTAAATTTTCACGAGGGGTGGCCCAGATTTGTGGTAGTGTGGCTGACGACTTTTTTGCTTATCACATTCAATTTTTGGTCGTCGATTTTACACATAAAACGGTCCTTTTTCTTACTTTTATTAAAAAACTGCCCCTCTCCCTCTAGATCGCCACTGGAGCCATTTGTCTTGTTTGTAAATGGATCACTTAAGTTATCTGATGAATGTTTTTTAATGCATTGTTTTTTAACGGATGTAAACGAAGCATTCATTCCACTCACTTATCTCGATGATATCAGGTGTCGTCACGATGGCACAAGCCTACGTCTGCCAGCCATCAACCCACAACAAAAAGAACTCTCTCTATAATGTCCAGTGTGGATATAAGGAGTGTTGTCAGGTTTCTTTAGTTTTGTGTTTTTTCTTTTAGTTTGGAGGTTTGGAGACTGCAATTATAACTTTATGCTAAATGGCCTGTAAAAATGTTATATAGATTCTACGCTGACATTTTCTGTTATTATTTCTTACACCTCACCCGAAAAGTTTTCATTGTTTTTACGTCTCTTATTTGAATGGTTTTTTTATTTACACATAACCTCCAAATCGTTCCCAGCTTCCGAATCTCTGTTATGTTATGTTTCAAAAGTAACACATACATTCGTTTTCCTATTCGTTAGATTTCCAGAAGTAAATTTAAAATTTTTTCGGTAAGTGCTATTATTTAGTTAAGTACAACTGTGCACTTATTGAATTGAAAGGCTCGTAACTTCTTTAAAAATGAGTTTTTTGTTCACAGACGATGTGCCTTATTGAATCTCAGTTGGAAATGCTGATGGGCAGCTTTGGGTGCACCATCAAAGGTATCTTTTTTTACACCGGTGTTACTTGTTCAGATGTAATTTATTAGTGGAAGAAAATGATTTTTTCTTTATTCACTCTGAGTTGATGTTGTGTGGACCCATCTGTTACTTTCAGTCAAAATGTTTCCGACAACGTTTTGCAGCTTATATTTATTATTATTATTATTATTATTATTATAGGTCTTGTAGGGTTTGCGCGACTTTTGCCCAACGACGTGTTCGAAGTTGTTGTAAGGCACGGGGAACAAAAGTTCAAGACAAGGGGTATGATTGGAGTTGTCGATCAACGATGGAATCCAAATACATTCAAGTTCAAAGCACGTTTCGGTGAACATCTCGTTTTTAAGGTTATCCTTTATTCAATCTTTCCTCGTCGTGTTTCTTAATGATTGACTTTTTGAATTGATAAAAAAAACTGTCATTCAATTTTCGGCAGGCTCAAATAATCTACAAATTTTATTTTAAAGAAATACTCTAGGTTTTTATTTTAGTCATATCAAATTTTGACTTATGTCAAAAAAAATTTTGCGTGGAACTGAATGAATTTAAACAACTTGCTTATTTTGTTTAATTTTGATGATATTATTATAATATATTAGTTTAGATATTATATAAATAAATTAATTATCAACAATCACATTTAGTTTTTAATTATTCATTTTAAATGAGGATTTTCAAATAATTACCATGAAACCATTTTTGTGTAAAGACTTTTTCTAAAACACTTTAAAATCATAAACCTGTGGTGCACTTGGTCACACTTTAAAATCTAACAAAGAAAGAGAATAATTAATTTTCATTTGGCAGGTCATGGAAGTGAAGTGGTTTGGCAAGTTAGCGAGTCTCGGAAAGAAGAGTTGTGAGGTGTACGAACTTTTCTCCAGTCTTGCACATAAAGTCGCCATCAACTTCCACACGTCGGGGTCCATCAAACTCGACACCGTGCTAACCTGGATGTTGGCTTCTTCTTTTAATATTTATTATTATTTCAAAAGCTGCTAGCAAACGTCAGTTAGCTAAAACGGTATAAACTGTAAAGTAGTGCATTGTTGTTAACGCTGTAATTTGGTTCAAGCGCTTTTTTTCCAAAGTGGCTTTGGCAAAGATTAAGTCATTCAGTTAGTTATATTTAGTTAGTATTGTCAGTATTATTATTTTTTATGTTATTTGACGTCTTATGAAGGTTCTCATTTCAATGTAAATCATTCATTTAAATAAATAGCATGGATATGCATGAAGGTTGTGTTTAGAAACTAATTTATGTAGAGTGAATCATATAAATTCGATACATTGGTGACATCAGTCTAAATGTAGAGGTTCTTGAAAAGCCAAAATTTTGGACCAACACACAGACCGGTGGACTCAGTTGAAGAGACTATGAATGTTGTGGATCTGTTGAAGTCGTCATCTTCAAACTTACAAGCAACAACAGAACAACATCGCGTGCTCGCCAAAGTGGGATTCGTTTTTTATTTGATAAATTATTCTGTTAACGTTCATTTATTTTTCTTGTCTATCTTTTCATTTCAATAAATTAAATTGAACAATATTTAGTCAATGTGCACCTACGTTCAAATGCTACCTGCTTGCACCTGAACTGTTTCTGAACCCAATGATGATTATTTCATTCCGTCATATATTAACATAAATTAACAATTGTTCTTAATATTTCAGCACCAGAATGAGTTGTTTCCAGTAAGTCCACTGCCAAGTACCTCCCCTCTTCATCATCCTACCAACGATTCTTCAACCAACTCTTCAAACTCACACCAGTCGTCAACCACATTCGATTTTCACTCACCAGCGCCAGAAAGACATGCTAACCCCAGAAGCACCCCAACACTGTATGATGACCCACAATCATTTGATCTTGCCAGCTTACAAGACAACGACATCATCACACATCGTAGCAAAAATTTTTTGCAACATTGCCACTACTTGCAACGAAGTCGACCTTATTCAATGCAGGCCTTGGAGACGCAGGACAGCAGTGAGGCATTGGTCAAGAGGAGATCTGTTGCTTTCGAAGTGGTTTGCAATCCTCTCTATGAAGCAAGCATGTCCCGCAAGTCTGCCTCATCTTCATTGCTCTATGATTCTAAACGCTACCAACAACGACAACGACAATGTATACAACATGGACAGCAGCAAACACAACATCAACAAACACAGCAGCTACACACACAAGCACAACCTCAAGAACATTCAACTGAGAGCCTTCATAACGACCACCATGATATCGAACTTAACAGCAAAAATACTATTTCTTGTGTTGAGACAATATCTAAAGATTATGATCAGGATGGTGATGTCGACGATGATGATTATGATGCCGATGTGAGGAGGCGATTGTACAGAACGCACCACTGCTTGCGAAAGTTGTTGGCTGATCTTGATAGAAGGACTGACGTGGATTCGTGCAACATTAACCGATGCATCAAGACATTCACAAGTCTGATGGCTTCTATTGACCATCTCCTCATTGTTCGTTTGTTACATGCATGCTCTTCACGTTTTCTTTTCTTATTGTTCTTAACGAATTGTTAAAATGATCAGGAACGAGAGAAATATGATGACCATTCATTGAGAAGCTCAAATTCGCCAGGCAGTCTGACCATTGAAAATGCCCTTAGTGCCTTCAACTTTCTGGATTCCATGTCTGAAGTGGACAACAAAAGGTACTTATAATTACACTTGAAGTTCAATCTATTTTTGATTACATTACCCTATTTTCCTTATCAGATATTGTTATTTATTTTGTTTGAAGCAGTTCTACAATGTTTACCTTTTTATTTGAGGTTTTTTTTTAATTTGGATTTAACCATTGGCCCTCCTCGCTCATTATATTATTTTTGTTTTTATAATTCTAACTCACCTTACCTTACTGAGTATGCATGCGGCTTGCAGTTCGAAATCTGACCCATTACAAGCTATTTTCTCAACCACAGAATCTCACTAAAAACTTTCAAAATTTACACTATATCCAATTATTTCCACAAGGCCTAGTGACAAGTGCACAAACAATATGTTTGATGAGTCTCTGCAATGATTCCAGAATTTAAAAAAACAACAAATAATAACCGAATTCAATTAATCATTTTGTTTCTAAAGCGCTCCTAAATTATTTTAACAAGCAGACATTTGTGGTCTAATTGATATACAACTCTAAAGTATACACGGGTAAGATCCCGGTGCATCTGCTAACATTGCCCTTAAATTAGCAAAAATTCTGCGCCATTCAGCAAACCACATGTTAATTTTTGTTAAATGATTTCTAACCTACCTCTAAAAGCTGAGATCCATAATTATAGCATATATTCGCCATGTAGAACGCATTCAAATCGCTCAACATATGCAAATTAATTAGCGACAAATATTGAAAGCAAAAGTTCGGAGGGATAATATGAAGAGAAGAAAGGATGCATCAACGGAGCAACCTTTAGAATTTTAAAGTAGTCTGGCGACCTTCCTGTCATTTTAGGACCACATCTGCAAGTGAAGAGCCAGCTCTAGTTATTAGAAAGTGGGACCGGAAAGAAAAACAAAATATGGAGGCTACATGCATGGAAAGAGTAAGGATGTATGACCAATTCATGAATGGTGTAGACCCAGTTGGTTCATAAATTTCTTATTAACGAATTTCCGCAAAATCACAAAGGTAATATTTTCGTTTTCTTTCAACTTTATCAACATGGCCGTCTTCAATGTATGGTCGTTGTACCGCAAAGATGCAAATCAGAACAATTGCCATTACGTGCCAGTATAGCAGAAGGCCATTGTAAGCTTGGAAAAGATGTGTCAGGAAAAAAGTGGGAAGGCCATCATATGGACTACTAAATACAGGCAACGCGACATCGCGGTTCAACAAGACGTGTGCCAGTTCGTGCAATAAGGAAGGACTGCATATGCCTGATGTGTTGCTCAAAATGCAACGTTGCAAAATGCTGAATTTCTAAAAATTTTCTTACGTACAAGTAAAAAGTACGTGTATGTCTAAAGACAAAACGCAAATTGTTTCAAAAGTTTTCGTAAGTGAATAAAATCGTATGATGAAAAAATTCCGGTACGGGCCGTTGTAGCATCTGTGTTACAAACCATAGTTTTCTTCATTCTTCAAATAAATTTAATGTGTATTAGTTTATTATGCCTATTTTATATAAAAGTTGTAAAAAAAATTTTTTGTTGATCGTTATTCATAATTTGGTTTACAAGTGGTTAACAAGACAGTATTAAAATACCAAAAATAAAATGGAAATAAATAATCAGTCAAAATGTATGAAATATATGCATGAGAAAATAGTCAAAGAAACTAATAACTAGATGTACATTTGTAATCATACACATGTGTGCCCTGCTGCAAATGTACGTACACTTGCACACTTCTAGCATGACATCATATATGTATATATACATACAGACCATATATACATAATTGCACACACGTAACAAACATATCTGCCGAGCCAAATTTTTATTACGCTTTTTACAAGTTAATAAATAATTAATATACTCAGCTCCTTAATCTCAGCGGAATTAGATATATCAGTTTTAAATCTTCCGACACTACCTCCTCGTTCAACCGACCTATTTAAATCCGGTCCCCGACAACTCTGTAAATAGGTCAGTTAAGCTTTTCGACCAAAAATGTTGGACAACACTGCCCTCGATTGCCGATTCTTCAACAAGCATTTATAATCGCTTGTGTTGATTTTTTGGAAGGTTTGTTTCAAAATTCCTTCCACCGTTGCAATCATTGGAGGAGCTCCAGGTCACGTGCTGGCATTGACATTTTCACGTATGACCTGCCAACAATTGCATTATTTATGTAAATAGGAAATATTATGCCGACAAATATTCATCCAATTAATTATTCTTTTAATAATGCTTTTGTGTTGTGTTTGTTGAAACGAATTATAATTACTATGCACTGCACAGTTTGGATTTGAAACAGAATGAATCAGACTCTGGTATAAATTCTCAGAGGGTCAGCTACGAAGACAACCCAGCAACAAACAATCTTCCAACTTCATCTCAACAGAGACCACTGCAACAACAACACGCTGAACATCAACGCTTAATGTCAACAGGACAAAACCAGTTGGATATTGTCCTTGACATTCATTTAAGGAAATCTCTCCAAATACTTCGGGTATAAATTTTTCAGCTTTAATTTGTAACTTGCAAATTGTTGACATGTGGCCTCATTAAAAATATAAAGATGATGATGGTTTTGGCATAAATATTTTTTTAAAGACGTTATATTAAGTCTGAATTATAATCTTATTGGTGGAAATTGCACGAGAGTTGAACAGCTTTTATTTAATTATTTATGTGTTTGTGGCTTGCTTTGTACAATAGAAATAGTTTTATTTAATTGTTGAAGTTGGTGGATGGCTTTGTGAGGAAGGAGTTCTGGTGCAGAGATGTTGAGGATTATGTGGGCAAGTTGTCCGTTCAGTGCGACATTCTGCTGAAGATCCTCTACTTCATTGAAAACTGGGAGGAAACTGAACTACCGGATGGTCACGTGATGATGATGATATTGATGTTGTTACGTAATGGTGATGGCGTTATAGTGATGATTATTTAATGATAGTGACGATGATTTAATTAGCAACTGTTATGCCGATGTTTAATTAAGAATTTATTGTTACAGTTGTAACTTTGTTAACGTTGTTATTTCTCAACTTGGTTACCATCATTATCGACGTCTCCGTTATCACAGTGCAGCTATCTAAATGCTTAACCACATTTGAATCATTCGCACAGTGCTGAAGATAGTGCCGACGAGTGCCTTCTCGAAGCAGTTCTGGCTGAGGTGCATCTCAGCGAATGTTCTTCACGCCAGCTGCCACGACGTCAGACATCAGGTCGTCTTCCTCTGCAGGCAGATGCACGACCTCAACGAGCAGGTCTCCTTCCACAGTGGTTCGTTTCTTTTTATAGGCGTTCACTTTCGTTAGGCTCTGATAGCATAATGTTATGATGATGTAAGTAGCGATGGAAAGTGGACTACAAGGCTTTATAAAGAATGGCATTCATTAATTCATTCATTCATTCATTCGTTCATGTAATAAATAATTTTGGTGCATTTCTTGAAGTATTTTGATTGAAAGTATGAAATGACGCGCTTGAAACTACATTGCTAGTGGCGTCACACGTCGTCGATTGCCTCTTGGATGGTGACATGTTTAACCCATCAACATGCACATGCACAGCGTCACGCACGACATCAACAACTTCTCATCATCGTCATCATCAGCCAAACGACAACAGCGTCATAAACAACAACAACAACCTCAGCATCAACAACAGCAACGACAACATCATTACTGTGTTCCAGTTCATGTTTTTCTTTTCTACCTCTCAAAATCATGACATTCAAAAATTCATTAGAACCTGTTTGCATGAAGGTTAATTAATTAATTATTTTATTAATCAATTAATTAATAATTAAAAACTAATCAATCGCTCATCCTACGTTGAGCGTCAGCATATTTCTATTAACTTTATTCGTTAACTTTAAATCTGGTACAATATTGCAACTGTTGTAAAGTGGCTGTTGTGAAAATGGATATTGGGATTAATTGGTTTGGTGGTTGGTGGCAGAAATGACGAGGTATGGTGTGTTCACTTTTTAATGGGTCTTATTGCAAGCCTGTAACGCAATTGCATATGTACTTTAGGACTGTTGTTACTGGTTGTAATTAATTTTTAATGAACAACGAACCACAGTGTACGTAAGAGATATGTTGTCTTCTGGCAAAGATGAAAGTGACCTGAAGATGGCGTATGCACTGATGAAAGACTCACCAATCTACCCATCTTGCTACATCCTCATCATCTCCCACCTTACTTCAAATGATCGTCTGCTCAACAAAATTGCTAGTCTGTTCATTTTTTTCAACTCGTTAGAAACTAAAGTTCGACCACAATATTATGAAATAAATTTTTCTCTTTGTGTAATTTGAATTTGAGACCAGATTTACAATGTCCAAATATAAACCCCATTTCGAAATGATTGATTTACTCGTTAATTTAAAAAAAATCTTTCAATAATTATACAATATCTTTAATAACGACTCTGAACAAAATTGTAGCAAAAATTAATTATTCCAAATTAATTTTTATCTAAATTAATTAGTTCCAATATTTGTGACAGGCGATTTTCTAAAGAAATTATCAGAAGAAAAATTGAGCCAGGTAGGTGCAACCTTTTTCAAATTAACTCATAACTGAAATATCTCAGTTGGTTTAATTTTAGTTTGTGCACGTTGCTACACCATTTTAAAAAGTTTTCGTTTAAATGGACCAAAAATGTTGGACGGAAAACATATATAACGCGTATGAAGTCGTGATTACAATTATTAAGAATTTTCTCAACACATCCTGCACTTGATAAACATTAAAAAACTCTCAGTAGATAGATTCCTGGATCTCTCGAAAGCTTTTGGTTTAACAGATCATGAGATGTTGTTGAAATACTATGGCACCACGGAGTAAGAGGGATGGCCGACGAAAGGATCAGTAGCTACTTAATTTCACGCTGCTTTTAGTATGTCTACATTGCTGGCTTTTGTTCATCCAAAGCTTTCATAACATAGTCAGCATTTCGAAGATCAGTTTTAGGACCGCTCCTATTTCTTTTATACATCAACGATCTTTGAAATCTCAAATTTAATAGCATTTCTATATTCATAATCTCTTTCTACAAAATTTTACTTTTTATCAAAACCGAAAAATCTCTCCTGTTCTAAGCATCGTCAACAAAATAACATTTTACGGAATTAAATAAAAACTCAGCCATTCTTCTTTTAATAACTTTACGTGACGCTTTTGTTTATCTCCACACGACTCACGGCATTCTTTTCTTGTGGGAAGGAAATGGTCCCAAGATCCATCAGACCTACTCAATCCTTCGTTGTGCTTCCAATCTCAATGCTAAATCTTGGCCGTAAACTTCCTATACATTTGCATTATTATTATTAGCCTAATTTTTTTAACTGTGTTGTCTATATTAGCGGATCGTATATTTATATTTCCTTACATGTATATCAATATTTTTTCTCGAGTCTTTTGAAGCGATTATAGATACAATTTTGTCTTCTTTGTTTATAATATTAATAATAAAGACACAGTCTCTTTCTCTGTAACTATAAAACTTGTCTTAAATTTTTTAACGAGCCTAAAATCCACGAGACCTTCGACCTGGACTGAATTGGTGCCTAAAACTTCACTAACTTCACTAAAAAATTGGCACCTACGTGTATTTAAAAATTTTCTTTATTTACTTTACACTTAAAATTTAGACACCGCCTTATAAAAGTTTGTACTTAGTAGCAGGTGTATGTGTGTCTATCTATGTATATGTTTGCGTGTGTGTATATTCGAATGCATTTGAGTGTTTATACGTGTGTATGTAAGTATGCATGTGAGTGTGTGTGTGTGTGTGTGTGTGTGTGTGTGTGTGTGTGTGTGTGTGTGTGTGTGTGTGTGTGTGTGTGTGTGTGTATAGGTGTACGTATGTGTTTGTGCGTGTATGTGTGAATGAGCATTTGTGTGTAACTTGTATGATCAGACCACTTGACCACTTCGGTGACTATATATTTTTTTTATTCAAATATCTTTTGCGTCATAAAGATATTATCGTCCATATTCAAATTTCTGTTTTTTGTTTGTGTTTTATTTTTGACACGTTATTTATTTTTTAATATTACCAGTAAATGAGTATGAGTGTTTAATTGAGCTTGTGTATGCTTGTGAGTAGTGTGCGTGTTGTGTTTGTCTGCGGGCGAGTGTGTCTTTGCGTGTGTCTGTGCGTGTGATTTTTTTTTATAATTTCTTGTAGTAGTTAAAGCTGGCATAGCTACTAATACTTGTTGGCTTATTTGGCTATTCTAAATAAAGAATTGTGAAAATGATTTAATTTGACATGATCCTAAATGAAGTTCCTTATCAATGTGATTAAATTGATCATAATTAAATCAGTGTTTCAGTAGTTAATTCTAACGTAAGTTAAACTGATAAATAACGTCAGGTTGTGGAGCTGTGTGTGAAGTTGTTGGAACATGGGAATGATGACATACGTGCATCTGCCTGTAATGCTTTGCAATTCTTCATTGTCACCTATCAAGTTAGTTATGAAATTAATTCCACTGTTAAGTTATTTGCTGTCTCTCTCTCTTATATACAAAATCAGCAAAAATTTACGTCAATACAATGATCAGACAGAAATAAAATGAATGGTGTATCTAAGGGGGGAGGCTTCCATCCCCCCCCCCCCCTGTTGTGAGCAGTATTTTTATTAAAATTCAGTAATATTCAGCTTTCTAGTGAAAAAATCTATCCAGGATTGACGTAATAAGCAAATAAGCGACCGAACAGTTATCATTATGCACTACGTATTGTGTTTCGATTTTTTGTGGCACTGACATAGTGAATTAAGCTGATAGTTTTTAATAGATTCATGGAGTAGAAAATTTTTGTAGGGAATTATTATTTCAAGAAAGAGCTTTTGTGTCATGAATTATTAATTTATGACAGAACACAGAAGTGAAGATGCAGCTGTTGATGATGATGGAGTACGATGGATGTTCTCATGTTCGACTACAAGCTCAACAGAACTTGCAACATTTTGGTTAGTCTTTAGCGTCTTTGAAGATCACTCAAACGAAGAACTCCACAAGTTCTTCAGCAAAATGTTTTGAAATAATCCACATTCTTTTTCAATTTTTCTAGATATATTTACTTAGAAAAATTATTTGTAGTTAAAGTTTTGTTGGTAATTAATATATTTGAATGATTGATTGATTTATTAATTAATTGATTGGTAGATTGATTGATTGATTGATTTATTTATTTATTTATAGAATTATTTATAAGGCTATGGAACTAGATGTTATTACTGACTTGTATGGCCATCGTAAACATACATAAAAAGAAAAATAAGTAAAAGTGATAAAATCAATGTACGCGCACTTACATATGAATATTGTTTATCTACACTTATTGCCATGTTTATTTCCACTTCTTTTCGGCTGTACCGCTTAGGGTACCCATCTAGTGATATTCTACCTCATTTTGTACGATCCAATAATGCAACATATTTTGGTGCTCAGTCTTTTTTATACTTAGCCAACATATTACTCTTTCCAGTACTGTAGAAGATTCTGACAATCCAGTAACAATAACTAACAGCTGATATATCAATACTTTTTATTAATTTTTGTTTGTCCAATAAGCTGTAATCTATAATATTTTTGCCTCTTTGTAGACGTATCGTTGAGTGCATTGAGACGGGCGCAGATGTTTTATTCTTGGCGATGTCTAGGCCATTATAAGATATTTTGGTTGTAGATGACATGTGGATTGAAAATCGTTAATCATGGTCATGGATTCTAATTCTGAAAACGCAGAATAAACTGAATATATATAGCTGCAAAGAATTCTAAGAACTCGATATAAAGACTTTGTTTCGAAAAGGAGATCAGATGTAGATGTAGAACGAGTCATGGGCAGGGCGTGTGTTACGAAGGGACGCTAGCAGATCCCCAGAGAAGCCATGATGATGGATACAGCTGAACGATGAATACATGACGACATGACACTTATTCTCGCTAAACGGGATCTCGTTACATTTGATCCCGGTCTATTTGGTTCCAATGACGCTTTATCTCAAGTTCCAGCTTTTTCTTGATTTTTCAACAATTAATTAAGTGTTAATAATAATATTATTAATGTTGTTGTTATTATTATTTTTATTCTAATTTTTGATTTTTCCTAAAATGTTCGAACAACAAACACATAGTAAGAATTCACGCATAAAATTTATTTCATGTTTAAGTGGGGATCTGCTTGCATTTGAACTATGTCATTGCAACAGCAGAACTATGTACATATCTAAACTACTTTACTACTAGTGAATATACCTGGTATACGACAGATTATCATGAAAGCAAAGAAAAAACATTACCGAAAAACTCAAACATATGTAAATAATTATTTAAATATGGGCTGTTATGTTAAAATAAAGTAAAATAATTCAATAATGATAATTAAGAAAAATTATTTGTTAACTTAACTATAGATACGTGGAAACACATATTATACATAAATGAACCCACATAAAATGACATATGTAAAAGAAAATATATAAACCCGTGTAATGTTAACACGTTTAAAAAGTTCTTAAAGGCAAAGAAACAAAAACTTGAAAAAGAAATTTATGTTGAATGAAAGTTAAGTTGAAAAGAGATGAAATAGAATGAAAAGGCTAATAAATATTTGTAAATAATGTGTTGAAGCCGCCTGTCATAGGAAAGTGAATCTTTAGCTTTATAAGGGACTGGATAAATTTTTAAAAGACTAAGAGGCGAATGCTGAGAAGAGTTTGTGAGACGAGTTGGTAGAAAAAGATCAGTAGGAAGGTGATAAAGAAAAGTTTGACGTGGAGTACATCTCCACACTGATTGCGATTAGGCGTATATAATGATTTAGGCAAGTTTAAAGAAAGGACGACTCAGAATGGATGTTGAGCTTCTGAACATTGAAAATAGAGACGGAAAAAGAAGGTAACGTTGAACCGACGAGGGCGTACTTGATTGAAGGGAATTTAAATGTTAAAGTTGAATTTGTCGTTGGCTCAGTACTGGAAATGATGGCGTAATGAAATTTTGATTGAGAGGGTTATCTGAGTCGGCACTCCGGTTTGAAAACGCTTACGGATCATTCTTGCCTTTAAACGACTTTAATATCGTTGTTGATGTTGATTGGCATTTGTTAGTGCATGTGTACTTCGGTGATGATTATGATAATGATAATGATGTTCGCTTCATTAATAATGATGCTAATTTTTATTTTAATTATTTATTTGATGATATTCATCCAACCCTTCAGAGAAATTTCGAATGACCGCCGATCATCATCACCTGGCATTCCACTTGCATTTGTGATCGAGAAACAGCACACGTGTTACATTTTCATCTGTGATGCATTTTCTCCACCATTTAAATTAAATTTTTGTTTTCTTGAGCTAATATTGCTCTGTTTCTTGTAATCATGGGTGCATACAACTTATTTATTCTAAAATGTTCAATTACTCAGTCAATTACTATGAAATGTCTGTGGTCCATTGATAATTTATATATTGGTACTTACTTATGTTTCCAACATAATGTAGAACAATTATAAAATAATTTTCCCTTATGCAGTAAACGCATCCTATTTTTAAAGTAACGAGTTTTTTGCCTTTTTGCTACATCATTACGATTCATGACAACTTTTTCTTCCCAAATGTTTGACACCATGCTCAGTTACAGTGGCTGGCGTGGTTTAGTTTAGATTAAAACTTTCTTGAAAGCTAAATAAACAAACATGATTATAAGTATAGGCATGAAGCAATATTTATATCCACTCCCGTTATGATACTTTGAGAAATAGTGGATGATGTCACAAATCAAACTTTATTTTTATATTCGCGATTCATTGTTTTTGTTTATTTTTATTTTTTAGAATTTTTTAAAGAAAAGTCATTTTATCAATTTAGTGTTTTAAATAACTTATTGAGTCAATTTTTTGTGTCATCATTCATTATATATTTGCAATAGAAGTCAGTAGGGTTTGTTATGAGTTTCTGGTGACGATTGTAAGACTTCGTTTTTGTTAATGCTAATTTTTAACGCCTAGGTTATAATTTTTTTTAAGTATTAATTTATTTTTTGTGATTTATGATAAGTTTGTTTTTGAACTGTTTTGTCCATGTTTAGTCAATATAAGCTAAGAGCTTTTGAAAAAATTTCAGATATTGTAATAATTATAAACAATTTTTCTAAATAAACAATAATGTGCAAACCATTCACTTTTTTATTGTATAATTTAAAAAAAAATTAATTGCAATTCGATGCAGCCACAAAAAGTGACAAAAAAATTCGGTTAACTTTATTGCACAACTGTTCTCGTGTCACAAACTCTCGCTCGCTGTTCGTGCGTAAGCCTATAAATTTTTAGAGTACATTTTCGCACAGTTTTATTTAATCGAAATTTGTTTATACCAATCAAAACTTGTTTTCTATCCTTTGGATTTTTTGTTGCAAGTTTTCACTTAAAATGTGCTTATGAATTATGAATTTTAATAATTGAGGTCTGATGATATTACGCGTTTATAGGTTGAAATCACGACATCGGGCCCTGACGAGTAATGATGTAATGTTGACGAACATTAAATAGATATAGTCAGATCTCAAATATTTCCCTGTTGAAACTCACAATTTTTTTTAATTTATTCATTGAATGTATTAAATTCATTGAAGTTCATTTGTAGCTTTAAACATCGAAAATGTAAATCTTTTTTCTATATTCAGCCAGTCAAGATCTCGCACAATTGGTGTGATGTGATCAAACTTCAGACCACCAACAACAATCTTGGCCATTCTATACTTAATTGACTGTTGCAGTAATCAAACCGAGAATGGACAAGGATGCACCAATGTCTGCATGTATGGTGGATTTATCCAACGAACCACACACTCGATACGATTTATGAAAGTGGTATGAGCATGTCGAGGATGACATTTTGATGTGATTCATTCGTCGACAATCTGGAGTCTAAATTGCATCCCAAATTTACAGCATTTTGACAAAACGTAATAGTTTGCTTGTATATTTCATTTGAGCTTATATTAATTTTTGATAGTTGTTGCCATGTCCCAATTGTGAAAAGCTGTGATTTTTTACACTGATTTAACATTAAAAGGTTGTTTTCTTTGCCATCCAGACACAAAACATGCAATAAACCTTTTCATTTCATGTTGAATTAATTCTGCGTTGCTAGTCACGATAATTTGGATATCATCAGCAAATTTGTGGCATACATAACCAAACGACAAAATAACCTGTAGAAATTCTTGTGTTGTGTGTATAGTATAGCATAAATAAAATCGGTCCCTGGGCTGAACCTTGTTGTACACAAATTGAAACTGTTCTAACAATTGATAATTCATTTTTAAACTTCACTTGAACTGTTCTACCAAGTAAATATGATTTCAAACGGCATGAATTCCTGAAACCTCAAATTATAATATAGAGAGGATGGTCAATGCAGTCAAAAGCCGCGTTTTTATCCAAAAACGTTAACAAAGACACTTTGTTCATCCATAGCTGTATAAGCTTAAAGATGATAAGTAATAATGCAGACTTTGCAGAATGACGCCTATAACCAGATTGATGTAAAAATTTAAATCCAATAAAGTTATTGAATACTACCTGCATGTTCAGTAAGTGTGGAAATCGAGCATATATTTAATATCGGCCTGTAATTCTTTACATAATATTATTTAAACTAGTTTTTTTAATCAGTACTGCAGTGACATGCTTACAGTAAGAAGGAAAATGACTAGTTTCAAGCTCAAATTAACAAAACTGGATAAAAATGTAACAAATAAACCTAAGTATTAAGTAATTATTTTCAAAGTATTGTAGTAGGATTTAAGTTGAATAGTTATATATACTTTTAAAGAAAACATTAATTTAGCAATATAACGCAAAATGCTCACACGCAGTGACAGATTTTAACTTATGCCAAGTTTACTTGATACAAAAACCGTATACTTATGATACCTATACAAGCCCTCGAACGCACCCTCGCACCTTTTAAAAGTATGGTATTGTCTCACTCTAGTTCCAACAAATTTGGGTTCATCAAACTTGTTATATTTTACAATTTTTATAGTTTACTAATTTATTTTTAAAAACTTGTATTCATTTTAATAATCTTTTAATTGATTTATTTCATGCGTTTGCATAATATTTATGCGTATTTAGTATCTTTTTTCTGTGTGCGAACTGATTTGAGCTCGTCGTGCTTGACAGATATCCTCCTGTTCAATACTTTGCAGGGGGTATGTAATATGTTGTTCAGCGTTGTTATAGCTCAATTCCTATAACAAAGTTCTGTTAAATCATTGCTAAATGAATATAACATATTAATTAACATATAATTTTTAAAATGACATCAAAATTGCAATTAGATCGTGTTTTTTTAAATACTTTCACATGTGAGTTTTTGTTGCTTACATGTAATGTAAATAATTACCTTCATAAATAAATTAATTATTAATGAATCATAACAGTTGCTATCGGTATTTTGGCAGTAAGTTCCCCGACAAGACATGGTTATTAACTGCAGACTTTGGGCGGCCGGTTTTCTTATTCGAACGTATTTCAATAACTCCCAAAAAAGTTAGCGCTTTTTTTTATTTCAACATTTATTTTTATTACGACGTCATTTCTACTTTCATTTGATAACTAAGGTATCCACTCAGTTTTCAAAAAAATATCAAAATACAACAAAATGGCTGAATTTTCTCCTGAAGCCCATGGTCTGGATCCAGATTTTAGACTGACTTCTTACACTGGCATGAAAGGATGAGGTTGTAAAGTCCCTCAAGTGACACTGCTCAAGTTACTTGAAGGGCTGAGTTCCATTGAAAAGACAGATGAGGATGGTGATGCATCATCTTCCCCCAGGATTGGTATTTCTTGTCTCATTTCTGTTTTCATCAGACACCTAAATAGCTTTTTGTTGAACATAACTTTATTGAATTTTTATGAAATCATTTATTTTTAATAGAAATTTTTTATAGAAAGATTACAATTATTATAATAATATAAAATATATCATTAGAAAAAATGCACAGGCTTGGAAAGTGTAATAGTAAAAAAAAAGCAAGACAAATATATTATGTACATTGTCACCTAATCCCGATCCTTTCATCCCTTCTCAACACATGTCCATACCACCGCAATCTCGAACTTTTTATCAATGTCACAATGTCCTCATTCAGTCCCATCATTGACATCAGCTCTGTACTACTCCTCCTATCCTTCACTTTAACCCCACACATCATCCTCACCATAGCTCTTTCAGCCCTCTGCAGTACACTTTCCTCCTCTCTCCTCAACACCCAAGTTTCACCACCATATACCATCGCTGCTCTCACACATGCTTTATATACCCTCCTTTCATCTTCACTGACCATTTCTTTCCACACAATACCCCAGCCAGTTCCCTAAATTTCATCCATCCTACACGAACTATAGCCGTAACTGCGCTCAAACATCCTCCATTTAATCTGAGTTTTTAATGCTTACAGGTTGTGGTACACACAAAAATTATTAAAAACCTTTATGTAAATTAAACATTAGGCTAATAAAAATCTTTTAAAAAGTTTTTTAAATGAAAATTCAACTTTGGGTCAAGCACTATGTAAATGATAATTTTTGTTTTGGACAGAAATTCTACTTGAAACATTTACATGAAAAACCCGTCTGGCGATTTTTAATTTTTGTAATTAATTTTTAAATTTTAAGGTATAGGTTTAGATTCATGTGTTTTGCCAGTGCCTGGTTCAGAATATTCTCTTATTCAAACAACCGACTTTTTCTATCCATTGGTTGATGATCCTTATGTTATGGTTAGACTGTTACATTTTATTTTTGCTTGCAAATGTGAACGACAAATTGATAACCTCAGGGCAAAATAACATGTGCCAATGTACTGAGCGACTTGTATGCCATGGGTGTTGTCGACTGCAGTAACATGCTCATGCTGTTGGGAGTGAGTCAAAAATTAACAGAAAAGGAAAGAGATGTGGTTGTGCCACTAGTTATGTCTGGATTTAAGGTTATTATTTTTTTTTTAAATAAATTACATTATGACTTAAAAACAATTTTCATTTGTGAACTTTCTCAATATTCTGTAGTTATTATTATTAAGAACTACTACTCAGTAATAGGTGTAAATTGAATTTTGGCTCACACAGCACTTTCACATGTTATCTATTTTATGCATGAATTATTTACAATATGGCAGATTTTATCCATTTTATTAAGTTTGAGCTGACGGTTAGAATGACTCAGCAGCTTTTTAATGGGATTAAAATATAAATCATTTGGGCGTTGTATGACATTTCTAGATATAGTTAGAAAAACTTTAAGGTCAAAAGTGCTAAGTGATTAAAATTTATATTTAATTTCAAATGTCTAATATAAATAATGCTTAGGGTATCAAATTTGAGCTAAGCCAACCACTTTTGGAGTCCATTTTTTAGGGAATCTGTTAGATTTTTAGTGTCCCTGGGTCTTATATTGTATGTTTTAGCTAATTCATTGCTTCAAAGTATGAAGTGACTCATTCTAGCCTTATCTAAATTTATTTCAGTTAAACATAACAAATTGAAATGAAATTGTTGCATAACAACAAATTTCAAATTAGGATTTGGCAACTGAGGCTGGCACGTCTGTCAATGGTGGTCAAACAGTGATGAATCCCTGGATGACCATTGGAGGTGTAGCAACTTCAATATGCAAAAAAAATGAATTTATCATGTTAGTTCAAGTATTGTTACAAATAGCATTTTATTTTTCAGTGACATTTATTTCTCCAATATTAACCAATTAAAACAAGTCATTGGAACAAGCAAGACAACTTGGAAAAATGTTTGGTTTGGCAATTGTGTTACTTATTTAAACTAAATTTAACAGGCCAGAAGCAGCGGAAGTAGGAGATGTCCTAGTTCTGACCAAGCCTCTAGGCATACAGATGGCTGTGAATGCACATCAATGGTTGAAGTCAGTGCCTGAAAAGTGGAACAAGATCAGTGAAGTTGTAAGTGAAGCTGAAGTGGAAATGTTGTACAAGAGAGCCATGTCATCTATGAGTAGGCTTAACAGAACAGGCTGGCATTTGTTTTTTTTTTACTTTTTGTTATCAAAAAGTTATTAATCTATTGCTGGCTGATTATTTTGCATACTTTTTGGTTCATTAACAATGACTTCATGTACAAATCTTAAGTTTTTTCTGTTTTCTTGAATTTATTTGACTTATTCATTATTTTAGTTACTTTTGGAAATTTTTTTATATGTGATTTTTGTTTAACTATACAGGCCTATACTGGGTTTATGGCGAGTTTTAAAATAAATTTTTAAAAAGAATTAAATGTTTGTTTGATGAGCTAACTTTTGTATTGACTGATAAATCAATGTTTCTTTTCAGGAGCTCAACTTATGCACAAATATGAAGCTCATGGAGCTACAGATGTAACGGGATTTGGTTTATTGGGTCATGCAAATAATTTGGCATCTATACAGAAAAAACCCGTTAACTTTTTAATTAGCAAACTGCCTATTATTGCAAATGTTAAAAGAATTGTTGATGCCTATGGTTCTCCTTTCACGAATTTGTACCAAGGCCTAGCTGCTGAAACTTCAGGTAAACATTTCAGTATTGTTCATGGTAGATACAAGTAATGTTATCTGGAAACACCTCATTCAGGTGGTCTGCTAGTAATATTGAAGAAAAAAGCAGCAGATAGTTTCATTAAAGAAATCATAGAGAGGGATGGCATGCCTGCCTGGAAGGTTGGTGAAGTAGTTGAAGGAGAGAGAAAAGCTGTACTCATTGACCAGCCTCTCATTGTTGAAGTTCCTGAAAATCCGTCTGCTGAAGGAAGTCTTTGGTGACAAAATGCGAAATGATAACCAATTAACATCTGTGATCACACCATCTTTTTTTAATTTGTTTCTTTTAATTTCGGTTTTGATCTGTTTGAAACATTTTGCACTTGAGCAATGCAGAATGTTGATGACATATCAGAACTAACGTGGTCATGAAATGTTAAGTTTTTGTGAGCTTATGACATGGCTAGAGTTAAAGTTCAGTGTCTTTAGTCATTGATGTCTTTCACAATCTAACTCATCATTTTGTGTCATGTGTTTATTATCATCTTATAATTTTATGTTATATTCTACAATAATTAATTGATTAATTAAACAACTGAAAACCAAACAATTATTTTTTCGTCAAATAATAAAAGCTTATTAAGCAACAAAAAATTAGTAGCTTTATTGAGTTAATGATCTGTGACAATAATACAAGTTGATTGTTGGTGTAAGCTGTGATAGCATTTGCGATCTAAACAAACTTCAATAGTGTAAAAAACTCAACCTAGACTGAAATTATAAATGCAAGTCAGTTGATGGGGGCTCGTTATTTTTTTTAATATAAATGCGCCAACATGTTGATATTTTTTAATTATCGTTGTTGAAAAGAAAATATAATAAGTGAAATAATTTTACTTGTTAAGCAGGAAGTTAAATATTTTTAAAACGATCAAGCAAAAAAGTATGGAGCATGTTGTAAGCCAACGTTAAAATTAATGTGTTAGATCTAAAACTAAACAAGGAGAAAATGTTAAATCTAAATTGTAAGACGTTGAAAATTATCTTAAATTTAGAAGATAGAACAAACTTTATTTATTAAATACCAATTCGGAAATAGCCATTATAACCAAGCAACTTTTGGCAATTTACACTGATGATGTCCAAAATTTTAAAATCCTAGATACATTTATTTATCTAGGATAATTATTCCTCATAATGAATATAGATTAAGCAAAGTCCTGGCAATTTGCACCTATCTATATTTGCATATAAGTATATGAATGCATATATAATATATATATATATGCAATTATTGATGAAAATCACAGCATGTTCGGCGTTAGTTAACTTCCTATTTAACTTTTAGATTTTTCTAACGGTTGATCATAAATCATTTTCATGTTCCTTGATTTACGGTCAACCGTTAGAAAAATCTAAAAGTTAAGTAGGAGGTTAACTAAAGCCGAGCATGCTGTGATCTTCATCAGTAATTGCATTTCTGACAGTCTTAATCCAATATATATATAATATATATATATATATATACATTTATACAAGATTGAGACCGTCGTAGTTTAAAAAATCGCTGCGTTTTCGGCATTATTCCACTTATAGTTCTGTTTCTATATTTTTAAAACAAGAACTTTTTCTTCATGGTTTCTTCAATGTTTAATATTTTTTAACAATTTTTAAAATTAAACATCAATAACAAGATTAATACTACTGTACTACAAAGTAAGCATATTTTCTGCCATCTTCAAGTCCTTGTTCAAAAATTAGTGAAACCTAGCCATAAATTAAATAGTGCCAAAAACGCAGTGATGTATATTAATAATATTGACGTCTATATATATATATATGTGTGTGTGTGTGTGTGTGTGTATGTGTGTGTGTGTGTGTGTGTGATGGATTAGAGTAAAACAATGAATCTCTTATCCAAGTGTTAGCATTTTTTACTGATTTACCGATTTTTAAAAATTCATCTCTCTCTCTCTAGATGTATATATATATATATGTGTGTGGTGTGTGTGTGTGTGTGTGTGTGTAAGGAAATATGCATATATATATATATATATATTACATTAAATGTAATTGAAATATTATTAAATTTTTTACTTAAATTTTCTATTTTTTTAATTAATTTTTTTTATTCAATAAATTTTTTAAATGAATCTTGGTATTTTAAATTTTAATATATAATTTAAATATTAATTTAAAAAATTAATTAGAAAAACAGAAAATTTAAGTAAAAAGTTTAATAATAATAATATTTCGATTGCATTTAATGAAATTTGTATAAATGAAAATTTGTTGCCTAATTTTTACTGATATACTAATCACAAAGTGCAAATTGTATGCACATTATTGTGAATTAATAATTTCGATCAATCAATCAATGCCATGGTGCAATTATTTAAAAGAAAAATCTACAATTCATAACTATCAATTATTTTCAATTTGTCAATCAAAAATTATTTCTGGACATTTCACATTATGCAAAGAGAAAAAAAACTAGCGGTATTAGAACTGCTGCAGATCCATAACCAAAAGTGGTAGCCCACAACCCTCTGTCTGACACCTCTTCATTCTTACTAATTTCTAAAGTAGGCAATTTGAGAAACTCTTTTTTTTTCAAAAGTTTCTCTTCAATTAAAATCATTTCATGAAGAGATGATTCATTTTCTAAATGTGAAACTTCATGAAATAGCTTGCTTTTCTTAACAAAGGCATCATCAGTATCACTAAGTGATGGGTGTGCTGAAGTGTCTATAGAGATTTTTTTTTCAAATCCAATAGTTTGCCACATGTCTTCAAGAAAGATTTTTATTTTATTGTTTTGTAGTTCTATCCAGCCAATAAACTCCAGAATTATGGTTCTTAGAGAATCATTGTTTTTTTCTAATTTATCAAGTGTTGAAGTGAAATATAATTTATAGAAAGAGTAGGTAATAACAAAGGCTAACAGAATACTGCCAAGAACTGCCAAAATGAATAATCTAAATGCACGTCGTTCACATTTTTTTTCAGCTCCAATACACTCTTCAATTGCATTTGACAGAGCTCCCATGTTATTTTTGTCATTTCTGTCATACAAATTAAAGTCTAAAGATAATGAACGAATTTTCTTTAGCAATTCAACTTCCTCATTCATTAACTGGGGATATCTAGCGTCTATGGTGGGAAGTGGGTCAAGATTGGCATGAACATCTTTTAAACGAGATTGAGCAGCAAGAAAGAGTTGCCAACATTGGTTTTTTTCCTTCTGACCACTCAAGTATTTACTCTCCATCTTGAAAATTTCAATATAAAAATAAAATGAATATTATTTGCACACTATGATAATCATTATAACATTCCATCTTAATCATCCCTTGAATGAAAAACACAATAACCTTCAAAACCGACTCTTGTGCGTTTTTTAAATCCGGTAAATGAATATAATTTTCATAAAAAGTTTGCCACTTGGATTTTGTTAAATTTGATGGCCTTGCTGGATTTGTGGCAATAAATGCAGCGGAGAATGTAGGATTAACAATATTAACATTACAAATCAATTTCCGAAAGTTTCTCAACAAAAAAAGCGAACCTGACATTTTTTTAATTAGTTATGAATTATTACGATTATATTATATCGGCAAAGACATATTTTGAACCGGACTGGCAAAAACGTTGTGAAACGTGGTGGCGATACATATATGTTGAGTTCACTTGACCCAAAGAGGATGTATCAGAGATGGATTCCGATAGCTAATTATCACATTAACGTGATATGCCAATGACTCTTTAACAGCATATGTTAATAATTCCATAACAAAAAATAAGCTCTTTTTTTACCATATAATTCGCTTTCATTAATAGTAATCTACAGGCATTTTATCTTATTATCTTACCTGATTCTAAAACTCTTGATGTCTCTCATAAGTTTCGTAGTCTAGGTTTTATCTTTGATTCTACTATGTTTCTCTCTTCTCAGATTAATAGTGTTGCTAGAAGCTCTTACTTTCATCTACGTAAAATAAAAAACTTTTGCCTTTTCTTGATGATCCTACTCTTCTCCTTGTTACTTCGTTAGTCTTATCTAGAATTGATTATTGTAACTCGCTCTACTATGGTCTTCCTGACTCTATACTCTATCCTTTAAGTAAAGCTTTTAACTCTGCTGCTCGTCTAGTTGCTCGTGCCCACTGCCCCTTTCTTTTCTCATATATTTCCATATTTTGTTCTCTTGCACTGGCTACCTATAAAATATAGAATAATTTTTAAAATTTGCACGTTCATGTATAAGTCTCAATCTAAATTATTTTCTAAGTATTTATCAAAGTATTTATCAGATATATTAATTGAACCTAAACGCCCCGGTTTACGATCGTCTTCTTCTTCTCGCTTTTTCTTAACTCGTGTTAAACACTCTTTTGCCAAATCTGCTTTTGCTTTTTCTGGTCTTTTTCTCTGGAACTCTCTACCTACTTCTCTGACTACTTCTCTATCACTTGAGAAGTTCAGAGCGGATCTCAAGACCCATCTGTTTTCAAAATTCATTGAGGAGCGCTGTTGAACATCGCAGAAATAGCGCTTTATAAGCTAATTGATTGATTGAGACATATATATTATATACATATATATATATATATATATATATATATATATATATATATATATATATATATGTATATATATTTTTACAATATTCTATAAATTCTACCGAATGTTTGGCGTTAATATGTTTGTAGTTCGTTTTTTCGATTTTTCTCACTAAAGATTTTTGGTGAACATTTAGTTTATTAAAATTCAAAATAAACTTATTTTTCGAATTCATGCTGCAAATAAGGCCATATTTCGATTCCGAATGAATCACCATCATCGCAATTAGAGACAAAGAAGAATATGATGCTATCGATGAAGAAAAGGAGACCGAAGAAGATGACCAGCCAATAAAGAAACCTGACACCTAATTCGCATCAAAGTTCAATGTTACAACACCAAAGTTAATTTTTACAACGTCAAAGTTCATCTTGACAAAGTCAATATTTCCCTATATATACAGCAAGGAGCACTGATGACGATTCATTCGGAATCGAAATATGGCCTTATTTGCAGCATGAATTCGAAAATGAATGAATTTGAATTTTAATAAACTAAACGTTCACCAAAAAACTTTAGTGAGAAAAATCGAAAAAACGAACTACAAACATATTAACGCCAAACATTCGGTAGAATTTATAGAATATTGTAAAAATTATGGTCTATTTTTTTTTTTTTTTTTTTCAATCCAATTTTATTCGGCAAAATCAAACCAGGAGATCCAAAAAAGAAAAACTTGTGCAGACCACCTTAACTAAAAAAAATTAAAAAAATGTGCCAAAACGAAATGTAATGAAAAATAATGTCCATTTATAAAACAAATATTTATAAAACGAAGATAAAAAATAAATGCAATTAGTATTTATTCATTATCACAAATTTTTTTCCTAGCAACTATTTTAAAATTGTTCAAGGAAGAAAATGATAAATTATGAAAACCTAGTTCATTCCAGATAATAACACCTCTTACAAACCAGGACCTATCATTTAATTCTGTTCTACTATTAGGTATTTTCAACATGTTGTTTTGTCTGGTCAAAGAAACAACCCTATCAAAAACAAACAATCCTCTATAATTATCAAAATGCTGGACTTTAAATAAAAAAATTAACGTAATGTATTTATTAATTTGTTCAATATTGAGAAAACCATAGTCGGAAAAAATGAAACTAGTATGATCGCGATAACCTATGGAAAAACAGATTCTTAATATACGTTTCTGAACTATTTGCAATTTGTTGTTTAAATATTTGCATGAATAACCCCAAAAAATATTTCCATAAATTAGATGAGGATAAAAGAAGGAGTAATAAAGAGTGATCATTGATTTGAGGTCTAGTTTGTCACGGGATCTATAGATCACCCCTATTACTTTATGTACTTTGCTGAGCACTAGGTTGACTTGTTCAATCCATTTTAAATCACTCTGTAGTGTTATACCAAGAAATTTAATTGAGGAGACCCTGGGAAGAGCAAAATCGCCAAGCGTTATTGCTAAATCGTTAAAAATTTGATCATTAGTTTTGATTTTTGGTCCAAACACGATGAAACATGACTTTTTAGCGTTAAGTGTCAATTTATTATTTTCAAACCAATCGACAAATTTTATTAGCTCATTGTTCATATTAGAGAAAAGCTGATATGGATTATCTCCAGATAAGAATATGTTTGTATCATCTGCATATAGCACGGTATTACAAGTATTTGATACCGAAAAAATATCGTTGACAAATAATATGAATAATAGTGGTCCTAAAATGGATCCTTGAGGAACTCCAGTCAGAATAGTTCCAGTAGCAGATGTAACATCATCAACAGATGTGTACTGAACTCTGCATTTGAGATATGAATCAAACCAATCAAAGCTTGTACCTCGAATGCCATACATTTTCAATTTTGACAACAGCAGTGAATGGTCTATGACATCAAATGCTTTCTTCAAATCAATGAAGACACCGATGCTAAAATTTTTCAGTTCATAGTTTTTGAGAAGTGATTGGTGAAGTTCAGCAATTGCACATTCAGTCGACGATTTGGGAATAAAGCCATATTGTTGTTTATTGATTATATTAAATTGTAAAATAAATTTCCACAGTCTATTGAGCATTAGCTTTTCAAAGATCTTTGAAAAAATGGGAAGTATCGATATTGGGCGATAATTTTCATAAAGTTTAGGATCGCCATTCTTGAAAACAGGTAGAACCTTTGCAATTTTCATGCGGCTAGGAAATTTACCTATGTTGATAGAATAATTAAATAGCATAGATAATGGCCCAGCTATATATTTTATAGTCTCTTTTACTAAATTGGAGGACAGAAAATCACAATCATAAGTATTACTAATTTTTAGTTTTTGGACAACTGCAACCACTTCATCAGGAGATGCTTCTTCTACATAAAAAGAGTTAATTTGGTTTTGCATGACATCAAGGTTAGTAACATTTGAAGTATTTTTGAAATTATTATTTAATATTGTGCCTTGTTGAATGAAAAAACTGTTGATACCGTTAACTATATTTAATTTACAGTTCATATCTGAAACATCCTGAAAAAGATTGGTGTTACCTTTATTTGTTCCTAATATTTCATTCATAATTTTCCATTTTTCTCTGGTATTGGTACATTTTTCAAATTTATTTGAATAAAACTTTTTTATTGCAATTCTTTTCAATTTAATAAAATCATTTCTGGATCTAGCATACAAAGTTTTATTGCATGACGTTGGGTTTTGAAGGTAATTGAGGTAGAGTTTATTTTTATCCATATAACTATTGTAGAGATTGATGTTCATCCAATTTTTTCTAAAACGATTTTTCGTGCATATAACAGGACAATTGAAATTTATAACATCCATGTATTTCGTGAAGAAACCATCGTATTGAGAATCAAGATCAACTCCATACTGAGGTTCCCATTTAATTACAGCTAAATTCTCATTAACTAGGGCAATTTTGTGGGGGTCGATTAGCCTAGTTTTTAAGCAATTGCGTTTAAAATTGAAAGAAATAGATGTAAACTTATCAGGTAAGCCAAGGAAAATTGGAAGGTGATCAGAGATATCTACCAGTAGTATACCCTTTGTAAAGACATTGCTTTTATGATTTGTAAAAATATTATCAATGATGGATGAGGTTGAGTCAGTGATTCTGGTAGATTGATTTATGATAGGGTATAGATCAAAACCAGCCAGAATGTCTAAAAACGTCTGAGAAGCATTATTGTTAACAGCCAAGTTAATATTGAAATCTCCTATTATATAACATTCAGTTTTAAAATTAGTAGAAAGAAGGTTATTTAAAAACTCCTGCAATCTATTAAAAAAGTCGTCTAACTTACCACTAGGCGGGCGATAAATGCATATGTAATAACAGGGTTTGGAATTGCAAACTAATTTGATACCACTCCATTCAAAATCATTGAAATTATGACTAATTTTCTCTACAATTTCATAATTTAAACTATTTCTAATCAAAAAACCAGTTCCGCCACCTTTCTTATATATCCTATTGTTATTAACTAAATTGTGACAAGGAAAAGTTGTTTTTAGTGAGCTATAATCCTCACCATCACTCAACCAAGTTTCACTCAGACATACTATGTGATTAAATGAATTAAGAATATTTACAAATTGAGTTATATCAAATATATGAGCAAATAAGCTCCTACAATTTATATGAACGATGAAAAAATTGTTATTGTTATTTAATTTAGTGTACAACGTTGATTTAAACTGTTCAATAGTAAAGTACATGGAAACTTGATTATACAGAATGCAGTCATAATTTAAATCAATATCAAAATTAAAAATATATTTTAGAGAATTATTATTTCTATCAAATGTAGAATTATTTAAAAAAATGTTACTTTCATCAAATATCTTATCACTTTTCTTTACATTTGGTTCACATAGTCAGCTTTCTGGATTGGCAATGTTGTTGTTTGCGGAGCTCTCGGGGAGGTTTGTATCATTTTTGTGAAACTG